AAACTTTTTATCCAAAAAAGAAATAAAAACGCAAAAAATAATAATATTTTAAAAACGAAAATCCAAATTTAAGTTGGTTTCCAGTACTGTCACTCTTTGTTTATCCCCTGAAAAAACAAAAACCGGCCCTAAAACTCAAAAACAGTAAAAAAATTTTCCCCAATTTTGATATTTTCATTTTTTTTTAAATTTATGAAATAAAACTTTTTTTTTCCCCTTTTTTTATATTTCTTTAAAACCCACCAAAACCAATGAAAATAAAACCCTTTTTTTAATTTTTAAAAATTTTTCTATTTATAAATTGAAATTTATTTAAAAATTTATTGATAAAATTTTAAAGTGCGCTTTTTTCCGTATTCTAAAAATGTAAAAAATTTAATTTCCTGCAATGCATATTTCCCGTTTTTTTCTCACTGGTAATTTCCCTGACTTTTTTCTTAATTCAGTTTAATACCAAAATTAAATGAGAAGCCCCTTAAAATTTAAAATTAAAAAAAAGAGAAAAGGGACAAAAAAACAGAAAATTGAAGTTATTTTCTAAAAAATACGGGAAAATTTTTTTAAAATTTTTTTTTTGTATTTAAAAATTCCCCAAATTTAATTGAGCCCCCCATTCGGGGAAATATTTTTTTTCTTTCCCCCTCAATAAAAAAAAAACCCTATTGTTTTTTAAAAAAATCCCTTGAATTCTCTGTTAATTTTTTTTTTAATTTTTAATTTAACTTAAAATGAAAAAAATTTGAGAAATATTGATAAAAATAAATGCGTTTTTTTTCTTTTTCCCATTTTTTCCAACTTAAAAATTTATTTTTTCAAACTGCAGTGAAACATTTTTTCCCGAAATTTTCCCACGGGTTTGGTTTGTCGGCCTCTTCTTTTACATTCTCCCAGCCCCCAAAATTTTTAAAAGGGAAATTTTTTAAAAATTTTTTTTTCCTAAAAAAAAAATGGGAAAAGGGGGTATTTTTAAAACAAAAAATTCAAGTTTACGATGAAAAATTTCCTTTTTCCCCCGTTCATTTGACAGGGTACGAATGTCTCAAACGAAGTCTTTGACAAACGTAGCAATACCAGAATGAGGGCTGAAATATATCCATGATGGGCGCTGTAATTTGCCATTAGCTAAAATGTCCTCACATAAGGTGAGAATCATAACAGTTGAGCCCTCAGATGGTACGGGATCTTTACCCCCACTGAGGGCAGATACAAAGAAACTTGTGGAACAACAGATCATGCTGACAAATAAAAGAAGTCAAGTTTTTACTCACAAGGGGCCAGGACAGACCCGAAGTCGTTCTGTACCTGACAGAACATTTAAAGAGGTTCGATTTACGCATGCACGAGATCAAAGTTTACCGAGGCCTACAGAGGAGGCGGAATATCGCGACGATTTTTCCGATTCGAGCGACGAAGAATTAGAAGAGGAGGAAGTCAAGCTAAGAAATACATCAAAGCAGGAATTAGAACAGCTGGCAGTTGATATAAGTACGAGTTTGGAATTAAAAGAGGAAAAACATAAAGAGTCAACGGATGTATCAGCCGATAAAGGGGTAGGCCTATATAGTACAGACACGAAAAATAAAAACGAGGCGGTCAATAAGGTAAACTTCGAGTTTCACCCTTGTGCTTATCATAATACTAAAGTACTTATTACTAATTAAAATGATGATAAATTAATGACAGGGATAACATTTTGTATGCAAATATCTTGACTTACACTTTCATTATATCTAACGTTTATTATGTATTTGCTATTTGTTACATGTCTACGTCCTCGTGAGGGGTTTGACATTAATGTGAGGGATATACACATGAAACATGCGTGCTTTTGTACTTCACGGAAAATATTCAATATAGTTATTCTGGCTTTCCCAATAAAATGGCCTACAAAGGGGTTTAATTGAGTTATATCTTTTTTGAGTTAAGATTGTAAGTCCAAGCTTACAGGTGCAATTCACAAACCTGTATCAAAATAACAATATGTATGTAATAAGAGGTTAATACACGGCAGGAGAGGGCTGGAATGTGATAATCGGCCCGCAATATGAATAATGGAGCCGAGGGCCATAATTCATTCAGGGCTGATTATCACCTCCGGCCCTATTCTAACTTGTATTAATGTCTTTAAAACACTTGGTAGATCTAATAGTAGCATTAAAAAAACAGCAACAACAACAAATACTTGAAGTTCTTTCGTTGAAGTCCTTGTCTACTCTTCTTCTGTTCTTTACATAGATCTATGTTTACTGTTTGTGTGTTCCTGGAAGCAAGTTTTATTTTCATTTTTTTTTCGGAATGAATTTGTCATATTAGATCTATTTCTTCAAATTTCAATAGTAACAAAAATGTGTTTGTACTAAATACGCTTAATTAAGCTCTCATAATAAAAATAAAGCTACTCGTGCTGACCACCTACTTTCACTTGTACAGTTTTTACTGTTTGATGGCGTAAAATATGACGTCATTGTTTCAGTTTGTGCTCGTGCACATGTTCTGCAGGCTGATAACTAGTTCTCGGCCCCGGGCCGCAAACTCATAATAGGTCACGTGACACTCATAATCAGTTAAAATCATAGGCAATTTTGTTATTATATATAATAACAAGTGTATTAAAGCAAATTAACAATATGTATGTAAAGCTACATAACAAAATGACATTAAGTGTACCACATTTGTTCTTTATTAGTGTACCTGATAGTTCAAGTTCTTGCTTTAGATTTTTGCCGAATAGCTTTGTTTGTCAATTATAGATCTAATAGGTACTTCGATAATTCGGTTTGATTTCATATTTTTCATATGAAGGATTGATAACATCGAAGAATATTATTTGTTTCGTTGAATTTGAATTGTAGGGATCTACATGTTTGAAAACCTTTCAATGAAATTTATGTAAGCTTCACCACATTTTTAATACTATCCCTCGGGATTCCTCTTCAATTGTAGCAAAAAGACGACATTGATAATAAAGATAAAGTTGGAAACGCAGAAAAGGAAACCATTGCGACCACTACTAACGAATCTGACCAGGGAAATGAGAAGAAGCAGAAGAAAAAGAAGATGAAGCTCCCAGGTTGTTTCGGTTTCATTTCTACCTGGATTGCCAAAAGAAAGGAGAAACGACGCGAAAAGAAAAGAAAGGCTATAGCTAGCCGCACCCCCACACCAACGCTAGGTAAGAATTACACTTAGTACACACACACACCTCGCTCGCATTTTGTGACAGTTAGAAATATATGAAATTATGTTTTCTGCTTGTAAGTATATTTTCGTCATACTTTTTATTTAAAGAGAAAGAAACTGCGTACTTTAACAAGATAGTTCATTGACAATACTATTTCTATTTTAGTTCAATATGAGCATAGAAAAGCACGTGGCGGGGAGTCTTTTACCATTGAAGTAGATTGCAAACCAATAGTCATGAAGCCGATATTACCCCAATTAAGGAAGCTGACGGGGCCTGTAAGTATATTTGAAAAAAAATATTTTGAATACAACATACTTTCTACTCTGTCCGCCTGGAAATATTTTGTTTATATATTTGAAAATTATATAATTATATGTAAGATAAATAAGATCCATTTATGTAACTGCACTATTCGCTATTTAGTCAAGCATATAAAAATGCTAAAATTTCCATAATTAACGCTTTGTTGTTTTGTCCAGACTGAGATTCATATATCATACGTAATTAGAATAGTAAGTGTAAAAGCCATTTGAAATTTGCCCTTTGACATCAACTAAAAGATTATATATTAAATATGCAACGTAAAGAGATTTATTTAATCCAATGTATATATCCGGCAAACATTGCTACAAATGAACTAAAATCCCATTAACATGATATAAGGAAAAAAAAAAAAAAAAAAAAAAAAAAAAAAAAAAAAAAAAAAATAAAAAAAAAAAAAAAAAAAAAAAAAAAAAAAAAAAAAAAAAAAAAAAAAAAAAAAAAAAAAAACGGAAAAAAAAAAAAAAAAAAAAAAAAAAAAAAAAAAAAAAAAAAAAAAAAAAAAAAAAAAAAAAAAAAAAAAAAAAAAAAAAAAAAAAAAAAAAAAAAAAAAACCCCTGAAATATTCCGAGTTTTGACGAAGATGAATGAAGTTGTGTATTGCCTAAAAATATCCTATTACATTCACAATACACAAAACGGCGCCATATGGAAAACGCAAGGAGTAGCCAATAGTCTAAGATTTCGAAAATCTGGACTTTTATATTTTGTTTTATATTATTACTATAGATGGTATACAAATTAGACCAAATTGCAAGTTTTAAAAAGAAAGTTTGAGTTTGCCTTTAATATTTGTTACATTTTAATAGATACGCCTTAGCATGTGAGGCTCGACAAGAAAGGCCGAAGCCAAAAAAGAAATGAGGAGCTTTCCAAAAAGAATGGTACTGGCAAGGGAGCCACAGAGAAAAAAGTAAGCTCACTTAAATTTGTTGTAACAACCGTTTTTGATTACATATACATGTACGTTCTTTAAAGGAATGTGTGTTTTCGTATACCTGATGTTCAGTACAAGAATAATTGTATTTCGCATGCTTTAATCATTTCACATTTTAGATATTTGTACATAGCATTAAATCACATAAAGTCAATATATCATTAACATCACACCGGCCAGATACTATATTATTACCATAACACGCAAGATACTTTACCATTTACATCACACCAAGATACTATATCATTTACATCACACCCATGATACAATATCATTAACATCTTTTTCTAGATATTATATCATTTAAATCACATCAGATACTATACTATTTACATCACACCAGATATTATATCATTAATTAAATCATTACCAGATACTATATAATTTACATCACACCAGATACTATTATCATTTACATCACCACCAGAAACTATATTCATTTACATCACATCAAGATACTATATCATTTACATTCACACCAAATACTATAATCAATAACATCACATCAGATACTGTATCACTTTCATCATTACCAGAATACTATATCATTTTACATCACATCAGATACTATATCATTTACATCACACCAGATACTGTATCATTTACATCACATCAGATACTATATCATTTACACGTCAACAGATATTATATTTACACATCACACAAGATTCTAGATTATTTACATTCACACCAGATATATATCATTAACATCCCTCCAGCTACTATATTCATTTAGATAACACCAGCTTCTATATAATTTTACATCACAACATATACTAAATCATTAACAGCATACAATTTCTATATCATCTCTATCACACCAGATTACTATATCATTTACATCACACCAGATACTATATGATTTGCATTACACCAGGTACTATATCATTTACATCGCACCAGATACTATATCATTTACATCACACCAGGTACTATATCATTTACATCACATCAGATACTATATCATTTTACATCACACCCAGATACTATATCATTTACATACACCAGGTACTATATCACTTTCATTATACCAGATACTATATCATTTACATCACACCAGATACTTTATCATTAACATCACACCAGATACTATATAATTTACATCAACAATATATATTATATAATTTTTAATTACTTGACGACATTAAAACTCTTGACCAATTTCTTTGATATATTTTAAAACTGAATGAAAAGAAAACCGAAAGGACGGGGCCGAACCCCGGGTTTTCGGAAAGAGTTCGCCCAAACTATCGATTTAGACAACCAGACGCTGAACGGAACAGGACCCGCATGTCGCCCCAAAAGAGCCAGATTGCCCGAATTTAAACCCAGAAAGAGCCCGGGCTTTTCCTCCTCCTCAGAGGGGGGTCGACGGGGAAAAAACCCTTAAAGGTGGGGAGCTCTAAATTAAATTTTGGGGGCCCCGGTCGACACACCCCTTAAATTGGCAAAAACCCTTTTAAGTATTGTCCCCGTGAAAAGGACCGTTTTTTTTGAAAAACTAAAAAAGGCAGTTTTACCCCTTTTCTCTTACTATTTTTTAATTTTAAAATGTTTTTTTTTTTATTTTTTTATCAGATGATCATATTTTCTCGCCGTTTTCGCCTTTACTTTTTGATCCTTCTATACGAATTTCAAATCATTTTGTGTTTGTAAAATATGTCCATGACAATTTATTCAAACAAGCATTTATTTTCAGTTTGTCTTTACTTTCTTAATTTTTAATCTCCTGCTTTTGGAAAACAAGCTAATATCATTTCGCTCTTAGTCTTGTTAAATTTTCAATTGACAAAATTCTGTGAAATTTCAACACACTGGTTATTTTTAGCACTATTTTCAGAAGCATACAATATCGATATACTAGATTATTAAAACGATTAACTTTACAAATTTTACATTTACCTTCCTTAGTTAAAGATAACATCTTTGTTTTAAAATCTTCATAACAACCTGACCGTGATCTTGCCTTGAACAAAAAAAAATACATAAAACCATGAAAACAAGTATCAAATCTATACTCTGACCTTGATTTATCAACGCCAAGTATGATGATACTTACCAAAAAAATCTCATCTCATTTTATCATCCAATCATTCATGTATTCATCTAAATACTCAAAGAAACAAGGCATTGGTCTTTTACTTACAATTTAAGAAAACTCTAAATCTTTTAAGATACATTTCTTATCATATCATATGTGTACATTTCAATCACTAATTTGTTATACTTTCTAAGCTTCATTCATTTTCCTTTTAAAATCTGGTTAGTCAGAAAGCGCACCTAGATCATTACGTATATTTTTGACATTCTCATTTTAGCAACAAGGAAATATTTCCGGCTTACACTATACATACTAACTAAACTGTCTTTTTTTTACACATTAAAGTTGAAATTTACACTTTTTTTCCTAATTCATCATAATGATATTTTGTCAACAACCGGACCATGATGAATATCATCTGCCTTGACCAAAAAATACATAAAACCACGAAAACAAGTATCAAATCTACATTTTGACCTTGATTTATCAACGCCAAGTATGATGATACTTACCAAAAAAAATCTCATCTCATTTTATCATCCAATCATTCATGTATTCATCTAAAAACTCTAAGAAACAAGGCATTTGTCTTTTACTTACAGTTTAAGAAAACTCTAAATCTTTCTCTTATCATACTCTACGTCAGGCTACGTGTACATTACAATCACTGGTTTGTTATATTTTCCAAGTTCCATTCATTTTCCTTTTTTAAAATCTGGTTAGTCAGAAAGCGCACCTAGATCATTGAGTATAATTTTTGACATTCTCATCTTAGCAATACTCATTTTTGATAATTCATCATAATTATGTTATAGAAATAACCTTTTTTCTTTCATTTGTATTAACAGTTAAAAAACCAATATGGCTATAAATATTTTGAATCCAATTTTAAATTTTAAATAATTTTTAAAAATTTGATTATTTGCCTCGATTTTTTCAAGGAAAAAATTTTTTGGCCCTGTTTTGGGATTTTGCCCGGTTTTTGGGGGGGTTTTTTTAAGGCATTTTTGGCTTTTGGGTTTTCAAAAACCTTTTTCCCTTAAAAATTTGTCCTTTGAAATAAGACTTAAATAGGTTTTATCAATAAAAAAATTTACATATCCCATTTTATTTTACATGTTTTCCTAAACCCCTTTCCCATATAAAAAATAAAAATATTTTTGGGATCACTTTTTCTTTACGGGAACAAATTTTTTGTTTGCTGTTGCTGTTTGGTGTTTTGTTTTTGTTGTTTTACTCCATTTTAAAAATTAAATAAAAATTTCATGGTAACGAATAATAAGAGAAAATGAGAGTTTGCCCAAAATTTAAAAACGGGTATTCGGGAAAACAATTTTAGAAAATGTTGATATTTGTGGATTTAAGCATTTACCAATAAACAAATTCTAAAGGCATTTTATGCCTTAGAAACGAAAAATTATTTACTTCGTTAGAAAGGGCAAATACATTGTATGAATTTTATAATATGTAAATAATGGTTTTAAGGCATGTAAGATATTTGTAACCTGAAAAGAAATTAGAGATAAATATGAAATGATTTGTCATAAATCTAGCGGATTGTAAACAAAGAAGCATTCTGACTTCTATACAAAAATACTTAGTCACTTTTACTGTACTCATTGTCAAAGAGCAACCGGTGCAAAGGATGGTTCAGATAATTGAGATGTGAGTAAGCTTTTGGAAATTATGAATATACACACAAAAGAAAAAAGTTTTAATGAATAATAATAGAAGCATTTCTTATGTATAATGGGCTATTAAAAGCAATGCCGTTTATAAGGCACAATTGTCAGGTAGTTAAAAAAATGCATATCATTCCGTTGAAGCCCAAATTTGTTGTGTTCCGAGTTTCATACCCAACCAGAAAGAAAGAGTATGTCCATCTGGCTCAAAGTTTCAAAGTTTTATTGATATCTCAAGGTCAAACAGAGCAAGTGAGAAAACAACAATATAACAAATGATTACAAAACAAAGTAAAGTGATATATAATTGAAATGAAACCATAGCAATGTTATGAACATAATTGTGTGCATAAAAATATATATATTAGATAATTTTCTTACAGAATATTGCGAGATTGAGTAAAACATTTTTGCTTTCACTATTCATTAACTTTGAAAAATTGATAATGTTAGGTCTATGAAAATATGAATTGTCTAAATATGTCTTTCTCAGGCATTGAAAATAGGAACAGTGAAATAAATAATGAAATTCGTCACCTAACAGATTATCAGAACATAAACAACACACTCTAAGACTTCTATCCAAATTAAAATATCTACCTGTTTCAATTGGCATTTTGTGGTTCATACATCTTAATTTGAAAAACGCTATTGCTAAATCTGATGGTAAAATGTTAAAGTATTTTTCAAAACCATATTGAGTTTTAAAAATTCTATAGTTTAGACATTTACCGGATTCATAAATAGAAGTTTGCCAACCTTGAATAAACTGATCCTTAATTCTAGCAGAAATAATTTTCTTAAAATGTGGGATGGCTTTGACTGTTTAAAAAAACAATAACTTGAAAAACCCAAAGAATCTAAAGAAGTATGCAGAAATTTCAACCAAGGAAAATCCACATTTAAATCAGAGTATAGTTTCAATAGTTCAGAACTCTTGACTTAATTTGCAATGACAAAGGCAATATTACTAGCTCGCCATAAATCATACATGATGGGGTAGATTGCTTCAGTCCGAAAACTTATTTAATATATTTCAATTGGAAACGATCAATTATTTTTACATTTTCTACTCCCGTGACCTCTGATCCATATAAAATAATAGGAGCCACCATTGCATCAAATAAATTCAATTGTATATCAAATGGAAAGGTAAGTTTCCGAGACTTTGTAAACACAGAAAACCTAGCTTTTCGAGCTTGATCAATCAGTTTTTTTTCTTGTGTCTAAAATTTTACCGTTAAATGAAAATTGAACCCCAAGATAATCATAACAATCTACGATCTCAAGTATGTTACCCTCAAACTCTAAAGGATTAATATCATTCAACCCCCTTTTACTTTTACAGAACACAACAATTTTTGTTTTGGCAGTGTTTACCTTTAAACCCCAAATATTACAGTAATCAGACATTGCATTTAATGCTTTTTGTAACTCATTAGGACTCTCAGCTAAAATAACCGTATCGTCAGCATAAAGCAACATAGACAATTTAAGATAAACTTCAAAATCATCTGTGCTTAAATATGACTAACATTGTTAGACAGGAAATTTAAACCTTCAAATATCTGAGACAGGAACGAGTTCAAGTCATTTAAGAACAAAGAGAATAAAACAGGGGATAAATTTTCTCCTTGTCGGACGCCAGAAAAAAGTCAGAAAAATGGTCGCTGACTCTAACACAGGACTTTATATTTTTATACACATATTGTGTATTATCTTAAAACATTTACCATCTATATTTGACCTTTCTAGCTTGTTCCATAAAACAAGTTTATTTACAGAATCAAAGGCTTTTCTATAATCAATAAAAGCACAAGAATAGTTTCCTTTTGTTAGCCAAGTACAAATCTATTAAACATTTTAGTGAAAAAAAATGATCAACTGTACTGTATTTCTTTCCTAACGTGACGCGATGTTCCTTCGTGGGTTCTGGTGTGACCAAAATATGACATGCGTAGGCAGAAAATGACGCTAAACACACTCCAAATACAGAATTTTTACAAAATAGTATCAGTCAGAAAGTTTGAAAAACGAAGGTGTATTTAATGGTACATTTTCGGGTCTTTTTGTTGTGTTCATAATAGTAAACATATTACATAATTCATAAAATACAAAGAACAGAGAACAAGGCGACATTTCAAACTTTATTATAAAACTTCAGTACTCAAATAAATGCTAAAAAATCAAGGTAAGTATCAATTGGGTTAACAAACATACATTAAACATATTAATTATGATTCGTCAGCCATGGTGCCGTATATATACATTATATATACAGATATATGTTTACAACAGTAATACAATTATGATATATCTGATGTCAATAAGTAAATATTAAATATACATATATATACACAGTATTGATAATTACTTATAATAAATGACAATGGCATCTTTAACGGCTCTAGATAGGCGTCATTTAAATAAAATCAATTAAGAAAAGATATTTATATTAGGCCTGCCTAATGTATCCACATGCTAAGCGTGAATAATTTGATCAAACTCTTATAGTTAAAGCTATTACTTAATTCAATGGGCATTTTGTTTTATAAAGTTTCGGCTGACCCCGTGTTCGCTAATTAAAGTTCAGGATCAGGGTCAAATGATCCTGATTTTAATTTCACATTTTTTATGAAACTTAAATTGATCGTGTTATTCTAATATTAAATGGTACATAAACAAAATCTAAAAATTTGCTGATTTGCATAGAAACAAGCTTATTTCGGATTGATATCAACAAATAGCAAAACAAATATGAAAATAATCAAATCAAAATAAAGATACATTTTTGGGTCAGGACCAGTGTATTTGGATCAATGTAAAAGGCCCATGTCTTGTTTATTTTCTAAAATTCCACAAACATGCCGTTTTAAGTTGAATTCTATCAAGTTAATATTAAATATTAATTCAATAAGGATAAACAATGGAGATTTTTTAAATTTGATCCTGATCAATCTCCAGAAATTAACTAAAGAGTAACTAGATTAAATTTGACTGGAAAAAGGTACGCATTAAAATTTACTAATGTATTTACGATGACCTGGCGATGACAAGAACGTTTCGACACAGCCGATTGTCCACTTCATGAGAAAAATGTAGCAGGTGGAAAATCGGTATGTTGGGAGTATTTCTTGACAGTCAACTTGACCTAAGTAACAAATATCTAGATATATTTGTATATCAATGTACATTAATGTACATTACGTTCAGCTGTACTATATCGAACATGTTATTGGCGCGTTTTCATTGGTCGTTTTCGTACAATGATAGATTTTTTGAACTTCGGAAATTAAAAGCCGTTACATAACAGTGATTGATTTTCTTCGGTAAGAGAAACATTTTTTTGTGAAATGACTTTGTAGGTTTGACGGAAATGTAATGATATTTTACTGTTTCGACATGACATGTCTATTAAAAATATTGATATGATAAATAATGACAATTGGTATATAGAGTGTATTTCGTGATCTTGATTACAATTAGTCATTTCTATACTCCTATATAAAGAGTTACATCAAATAAAAGTTACTCATTTTTTACCATCGATTTGCTGGAATATTACAAATCATTCTTATACAAGTGGCGATTTCAGAGTGAGTTTTATTATGTCACTTTCGTAGAAAAAAAATAAGAACAACTAATATTTACAATGTTTATTCTTAGAAAGTCTTAGATCAGAAAATTTTATTTCATTCACTCGACGATGGTTTTTAAGGTATTCCACTTAGTTTTTTTTTGTTTTTTTGTTGACATGACGTAAATAAATTATTTTTTGACATTGATTTAGGTCTTTGACCAATAATTTTTGTACCAAACTTCAGATCATTTGCTCATTCCGTTTTTCCAGGAAAAAATCTAATGTGACAAAAAGATGAAGTTGCAAAGCTTTCAATTCAAATCGGGCTAAGGATAGCACAAAATATACGATTTTCAATTTATTTCAATTCATATTTCTTAATTATCTTTTGCATATCTTTCTGTTTTAAGTGTCCCAGCTGATCTATGTAAGAAATTAAAATTTTATGTTTTTAAGCTTTTAGACCTCAGTGGAGTTCCTTTAAGATAAAGTGTGCGCTTTCTATAATTTGTAAAAATGTATAAATTCAGAGTTGTTGTATACAAATTATTACATACAATTTATTTAGAATTTCGGTTCATTTATTTTCCAACATATAGAGGAATATTAAATACAGGATATATTTTCATCGAGTGGAATATGATAATTTTTATACCATAAGAGGAAAATAAATCTCGCACTTGAATTTTCTGTTTATTATATGCATTGCTCTATTTTTTGACATTGCAATTTGAAAGGCTTCCACTTACTCGTTTGTGTACTGGCTGAATTTAGAAGAAAGTAGTCGGCAAGACACCAGTGAATAGACGGAAAATATGTTTCACTGTAGTGAAAAATATTTTTTACAGTGCAAGTAAGGAAAATAAAATACGCTTTTTATTGCATCAATATTTCTCATTAGTGTCCATTTTTTGTGTCATCCAATGAAAACGCTGTAAAAATTCTATGAAGAACAAAAGCCGATATTATATTAAATTCCGTTCATAGCCGCCTTCTATTTTTCATAGTCACGGGGGTGGAACACCATATGTAACTCAAAAATGAGCATCGGTAAAAGTATATGTGAATTTCCGCTGCTCCAGATGTGAAGCATAACACCAGATGTGACAGTGAAATTAGGCCAATCGTGGGGTAAATTTTCAACTTTTTAAACAGTTATATAAAATTCAAACCTTTTTTTTAAATCGAAATGTGATTCTACCCTACTGACTCTCCTCTATATTACTCATTTTTGTATTGAAATTCTATGCAGTCTTCATCGAGATATTCTTTCCGTCGTGTGTTCTGGTGTAGCCAAAACGTACATTGAAGAAAATGTCACTAAACGGACTCAAAATACAGAGATTTTACGAAATCTCACCTCAGACTGATGCTTAACATTCGAACAAATACTGAGATTTGGCTGAAAACGAAAGAATCACTGCTCAAAATTGCATTTGAGCTCCAAATGTGCTGAAGAGGTCCATAAGTGCATGATATAAACAATAAGCAACATAATTACGGATCATTTTCATAAAGCAATCTATACTTTATTCTTTTATTTGTCATTCTACAATTTTGAACAGCGATTCTCCGTTTTTAGCCAAATCTCAACAAATGTTTAAATCAGTATTTGTTCGAATGTTTAGCATCGGTTTGTGTTGATATTTCGTAAAATCTCTGTATTTTGAGTCCGTTTAGTGACATTTTCTTCATACGCATTGTATGTTTTGGCAACACCAGAACCCACGACGGAAAGAATATCTCGATGAAGACTGCATAGAATTTCAGTACAAAAATGGGTAATATAGAGGAGAGTCAGGAGGGTAGAATTACAATTAGATTTTCTCTAAAAGCAAAAAAAGTTTGAATTTTATACATGTTGTATATCTGTTTAAAAAGTTGAAAACTTCCCCCGCGATTGGCCTAATTTCACTGTCACATTTGGTGTTATGCTTCACATCTGGAGCAGCGGAAATTCACATATTGAAAACAAAGTAGTATTTTGACTTCCATACAATATACTAAATCACTATAAATGCCCTAATTGATAAAAAATAGATAAGAAGTAATAGAAACAAACAATGACTCATGTACTTGGGCAATAAAAAACCATCAAAGATAAAAAGCTCTTGAGAAATAAGAATAAAAGCCTTCTGTGTCAAATTGAGCCTTTATGTTTTTCAATATTCCGTTAATTCTTAAATTTATATGTATACAATGCATGTAATAGAAATAGGGATAATAACTAAAGCGAACTTATATAGTGCATCTCCTTTACACATTGTACTCGTAAATTGCAACGGAAGTGATTTGTAACGTTCCGTTTAAACAGAAGCAATTTAGAAGTTTATAAGAAATGCAATAAAAAAAGTATCAAATATTAAGAAAAAGAAAACAATAGCTTAAGAAAAGAAATATATATATGTAAAGAAAAACTCGTCCTACATTCAAGGCATGACAAGTTTATTATATTTAGAAGTGTATAAATATGTGTTAAAGGAACTCCACTGAGATGTAAAAGCCTAAAAACATAAAATTTGAATTTCTTACAGTGATCAGCTAGGGCGATATGCAAAAGATTATTTATAAATGTACTCAGAAATAAAAGTCGTTTTTATGTTGTTCTTAGCCCTATTTGAGTGAAAAGCATTGCAACACTTAGGTCATTTTTCCCATTTAGAATAATTATTCTGGAAAAAAACTGAGTAAGCGAACGATATGAAATTATGCATGTCTAGACCGACCTACATCAAATAGAACATTAATCTCGAAAAATTAACTCCAGTCCCGTCATTGAAATTATGATTTATTATTTGTATTTTGTATACGATGTTATTATAATAATTATTATCATTATTGTTGTTGTTGTTGTTGTTGTTTTTATTATTATAACCACTATTGTTGTTTTTGTTGTTATAATTGTTATTATTACTATAATTGTTGGTGTTGTTAATTGTTGTTGTTGTTGTTGTTGTTGCTGCTGCTGCTGCTGCTGCTGCTGCTCCTGCTGCTGCTGCTCCTGCTGCTGCTGTTGTTTATCATCATCATCATCATTATCATCATCATCATCCTCATCATCATCATACCTATTTTTATCATCATCATCAACATTTTTATCATTATTATCATCACCACGCAGACGTGTACTAGATTTTGGATAGAATCTATAATCTATTTTTTTTTTATAAAATTAGGCAGTCATGCAGATCAAAGTGTTGGCATGTTTGCTGGTTATAGCAGTTATGCTGCAAATACACCAATCTGATGCATTCCCATACTACGGTGGTCGCCGTGGATACAGACGCTGGGGTGGTTACTACCCACGATATGGCAACTATCACAGACGTTATCCGTATTGGGGTGGCGGCGGACGCTATCCCTATTATGGTGGCGGTGGGTACTATGGAGGCGGCGGTGGACACTATGGCGGCGGCGGTGGACACTATGGCGGCGGCGGCGGACACTATGGCGGTCACGGACACCACGGCGGACATGGACATGGCCATGGTGGCTATTAATAAATGTCATTTATAATGGTTAGTAAATCAAAATGCACCAGTCAATTTTAAACGAGGACACCATTCCCCAGGGTGGTCATGGAAAAAGAGGGAAATGAGTCCTATTTTTTAATTCCGTTTGTCCCGAACTGTCAGACCAAAAAAAACGGTATATATATGTTTATATTAGTGCAAGAGTAGCCAAGAATATGTCGGACTCGCTAAACCAGGGTATTTTGTAGAAGTTTCACCATCTAATTAACCCTGAATGTCAGGACATTTACAAGGGGTTTGAAAATCCTTAAGTCAAAGTACCCGCTATATTTCCCCAAGAGGTTGCTGGGGTTATTGTTACAATAAAGGCAACGTTAAAAATAGGATATTCAGATAATTTAGCCAACAAATGTACCTTTTTCGTTTCATTTAGTCTTAAAATAAGTATGTTTTAGACAATCTCAAATCCTTCAATCTACATGTATATACCTACACAATATTGTATATAACGCTATATGAAGTACTGTTTTTTCTTCTTTACAGAAATTTGAGAAGGCATCGTGCAGAAAACTTGTCAATCAAAATAATCTGAAATGTGAGCATTCTCATTATAAAGAAAAAAATAAACGATCATAACTTTACATATTGTGTTTGTTTTCACTGCATGGTAAGTATTTCCAGTCAGTTTGCTGCAATACAATACTTCTGTAATACTATGAATGATTATAAACCCGACACTATCATTTCTCAGCCTTTTTCTATGAGGATTGCCATACTCTAATGCATAGGTGCTGATGTTTTTTTTTGTGGTTGTTTTGTTGTTGTTATTGTTGAACAATTGTTGTTGTTGTTGTTTTTGCAATATTTAGTCTTAACTTCTATGCCCTTTCCCCGTCAAACTTTGGACAAAGTCCTCGCCTATTTAAAACATCCCTCCGATTCGAAGTTTGACAGAAAAGGCAGAGCTGGTTATCGTGTTAAAATTTAGAATACAATACTTTAGAATGTGTTATAATAATCGTTGTAAATTGTTGCCCCGTATTTCACTTTAGTATTGTTATACTGTCTGATCAGGAGCCATGCTGTTCGCTATCAGTTTCTCTACTTGTTATAGGGTTTGTAAGCGAACAGCATGGATCCTGATCAGACTGCGCGGATGCGCAGGCTGGTCTGGATCCATGCTGGTCGCAAACCCATTATGTTGGTTTTGTCGTGACGCGGCTCATATTGAAAACGAATTGTATGAGTTTTGGGGAACTAAGATGCAATAATAGTAGATACTGTTGTAAATTGATAAAATAATGCATTTTAGTTCTCAAAATATGCGATGGGAGTTTTAAAACTTGTCCAATGAAATAGCGTTTGTGAATTATAGGACAATATGCAGAAATTTCTCAAATTATCATGTTTAAATGTTTAATTCGACTTCAGTCGGTGCCGGGGGGGGGGGGCACGAACGGTAGTTGGCACTTACCGCTGCCGTCCATGGACATGCTTGATCAAACCGGGACTGCAACATTTTCAATTTTGCTCTTTTAATCAAACAAAATAAACAAACCAGCAAGTTAGTTTTAAAGACGCCGTTTTATTTGTTATTTAAGTTATGTATAAAACAATTGTCAAATAATATCAATAAATCACAATTACAACAACGTATGAACATAAAATAAAGACTAATTAAAGTGTGCAAAGCCAGGCCTATATATCAGCTGCAAAAAATAATAAGAAAACATCCAAAATGCTTGTATGAAATAAATATGGAAGTAAATTGCCTAAGAAGTGAATTGTGTCACTGGTAGAAAAGGCAAGCATATAATATGTTTCATTTAAGTTTTAAAAAATGGGTTAAGAGGATGTTAGATGTTTATCAGGTAAAATAAAATCAGCGCTGATTACAAAATAATTTGTCACAAAAAGCAGCAAAAATAAAATTGAAAGAAATTTTTGAGAAATAAAGAAATAATAACATGACTTTGGGCATTAAGCTTCAACATCTATATAGTAATAGACATAGTTTGATATGGTAAAAAGACATAGGTCAGGGAATGGCAAAACGTATAAGTAAGGATCGAAATGACACGAAAGAGCAATAATTATCGAAAAGGAGTAACTCGTGTATAGGGCATCGAGTGAATTACGTACGTTCGATAATGTATTTATGTTAAATAAAGGTTCATCCAATGAACATAATGATATTGAAGACGACCGAAAATACATTTTATGTAAAAAACATTCTTAAAACGTATTCAACACTAATCATCGTTATCTCCAAAGTCCCAATAGTAGCCACCGGAACTTCCCGAGCCTCCCTCACTGCCGCCTTCGCCACCACTTCCTCCTTCACCACTACTTCCACCACTGCCTCCCCGACCGCCGCGACCACCACCCCAGCCGCCATGTCCACCACCCCAGCCACCACGTCCACCTCTTCCACCAAAGCTTGCCCCAAATCCGCCAACTCCGGCTGAATGTCCAAAGCTTCCACCAAATCCAGCCCCAATGCCACCTCCTATGCCGCCTCCAAAGCCACCTCCTATGCCGCCTCCAATGCCAGCCCCAAAACCACCTCCAAACCTACCACGCCTATCAAACCTTCCTCCGCCACGCATCCCCCATGCCCCCATTCTCCCTCCTCCTCGACCAAGCATTGACATCAAATACATATCATTAAAGTCATAATCCGGATAATTAAAATCTAATCCATCTGCAAGCATTCCTGCCAGCAAGAAATTTTGGAACCCGTTACTCCTCCTTTGTCCTCGGAAGCCACGCCTATGACCATGGAAGCCAAAATCATAATCATGTCCGTAATCGTAGTCATGGCAACGCCAGTCTGACCAGTCACATCGATGATGTCGGTGACCACTTGCCCCTATTCCTACAGAAACTTGCCTTGAAGGAACAGTCTGTTTGTTTTGAACAGGAACCGGGTACGGCTGTGGAACGTGTACTGGGTACGGTCTTGGGACTTGAACTTGAACCGGCTGTGGCACTGGAACTGTCACCGGCTGAGGAATTCTCACTGGGTACGGAACTCTCACTGGGTATGGAACACGTATTGTTTCACGCCTCGGAGTCGGAGCTGGTTGTGGTACCGGGACAGGATATGGAACCGGATATGGCCGTGGTTCAGGTCTTGGATGTGGTCTTGGGCGTGGTCGCGGTCGCGGAAGAGGTAATGGTTCTGGTTGTACACTTGGACCTCCAATTCCACCATCAATTTTGTCATGCCCTGAAAAAATACCAAGTATTGTCTGTTTTTCTATAGTTCACAACAATAACAAGAGCACTGCAAACATCAAAGGTTGTGCAAAATACGGCCGAATACAAATGTACTAGTATCTGAGGTCAATATCGGATGAGATCCATTCATGCAAACTCCTCACAGTGATTTGATTGGCTGTGCTCATTTACATTGTATGTTACAGCGAAAAAAAAGGAAAAAGGGAAAATAAAACTTGCTTGAAGTGCGGTTTGACTCACTCATGTAAAAGTTGGTGCATAGAGGTAATCACAGAATTTACAGAGTATCTAAATTTAACCTTTGATAAATATACTTTTAAACACAAGTTTTGAATCTTGACCGTTCAGCACATAGTCTCATTAAGATCAACATTTCTTCCAAATGGTCGTCATTTTAAAAGATACAGAGCAGACACCAATTCATAATAATGTCAAAGTGTGACCATGACCTCACCTACGAAATTCAAACATCTCATTATGCGAAGTTAGCTGAAGGTCTTCAGCGTACCCGTTTATGACATGACGCATCAAATAAAAACAAAAATGTTAAAAAGCGGTAAAGTTTTGGAAGCCAAAACTATTGCGAAGTATGTGTATTTATAAACGATTATGATTTACCATGAGGACCGTGGTCACCAAAATGATGTTCAGTTGTTCGCGAGTGTTTGATGATTCTTTCAGCTGGGAAAAGTTTCCCTCCAGTATGACTTTCTATAATTCCAGGACCTCCCCCGCCTGATAAAATCCCTGCTCCGCCTCCCCCAGGTATAATCCCGCCTCCTCCTCCTCCGCTACTACCTGCGAGTAAAAAAAATCAAAGCACTGAAAGTAATGTGAAACCACAGGGGCGTGAGGAACTCTTTGTAGTCAAAACTATCGATGAAATTTGGCATCTGTATGAAAGCCGAGGAGTTCCGATAGCAGTAAAAAGGAAAAATTCCCAAGTCCCGCGTTTAAAATGGTTAGTGTTAGTAAGTGAACATCACAATTTACATGGGAACTATTTTTTGCAATTAAGTTTTAATTCATTTTTTCCGCTCTCGTTTCAATACTAGTTTCAAACTTACCAGCACCCAAAAAAGTTAGTAAAAATTGGTTACCTATAAAGCCCATACCTCCATGAACGTCAAATCCGTCAGGTCCATGGTCAGGAATAAAATCTCCACCGATATCCGGTTTATGAATCCCTCGTCCACCTCCTCCTAGATTTACGTGAGAAGGGTATGGCTCTACGACGGTGCTTATCCTGTTAGGGGAGGAGCCAGAACTGAAGGCTTTGATGGCGTCGGGGCGAAACAAGGGCTCAATTTTCTTTTGACCATTTGAGACATCACTTATGATAAGTGAAAGCAAAATAGCAGCCAACATCCTTCATGTGCTGGTGAAAACTAAATGCTTGCTGAAAACAATAAACTATTGTTAATTATTTTAAAGAGTTTCATTGTGGTTCTCTTCAAAATCAAAGAACTAAAAAAAACTTTTTCGAGATTTATATATCATTCAATGCAGGTCTGTACGCATAACTTTGCAAAATTTCAGATCATTCACTTAATCTTTTTTGTTACAGCATAGATCATTTTTTTGAAAAATAACCCATAAATAATAATATCTTTATTTCCTCCAAAAGAAGAGTAAAATTGATTTTTTTTTCTACTTTTAATTCAATTCTTAGTACATTTTTTTTATTTATTTTTATTGTTATGTTTTGCATTAAATCAATGTAAAAATATCTTCATGCTTTATTATGCCTTTGGGCATCAGGAGGTCTTTTTTAAACCATGATTACTTTTCACCAATGACTGTAGCTGAATGTATATTATTGTAATACGTCCCATATTCAGTGTTCACAGTACATGTATGCCCAGTTACAACCACAACAAAATTCAACAACTGTTTTCTCTTGCAAATATAAGTATTTGTTCACTGATTGGGAAATCAGTTTTAACAACCGTTTTGATCAGAAAGAACATGGTTAAAACAAGGTTGACCAGTATTTTACATATGTTAACATAAGGTTTTTTCCCTTCTTTTCTCTTATATTTTGCTACTGTATGTATTAGATGTTTTGATACACAGGATATTGACAAAGGAAAGGAAAACGTTTTTATTGAGAAATTATGATGATCATTTATGTTAATTATAATATGTACAGCTATCTGTGATGTTATTTTCCGATCAAAAATGAAATTAAATGAAAACTTGGAACATCAAAGAAAGTATGTCCAACTCAAAAATGTGATTTTAGTGCATGAAATGTATGACTCGAAAATATATCACATTTTCATACTTTTTCGCGACTCGTTAATCAATTCTGTGTATTAGTTTCTAAATCCGGATCTAAAAGTAACTAGAAACGTCAAAAATATATGATGACATAATTATCTCTATATTTATTACTAAATTAATCATAATTATATTCAACTTACCTATGTCTTTATATAAATTCAATATATCATAAATTCAAAAACCTATCTAGATCGTGCAAAATATTTAAAAAAAAAAACAACACTTTTTATATCATTTTCAATATGCAGTAAATAATGAAAAACTTTGACAAAGATATCAACTTTCTAATCAATTACCTTTTACTTTTTTCTACTCTTTTTTATATTATATATCATAACTATATTGCAAAATTTACATAATGAATCATACACAAAATATATATTGATATTATGACTTGATAAATTGATTTCTTCGATGACTGCTGTTTCGATAATTTTCGGGGTTTCCATATTTTCTAGTTAAAACTATTTTCAACTAAAAGTTTAGCGTTAAGTATAGAGCATGGAATGCCATAATTTATAATGTATTTTCCGTATAATGATAAGTTTAAAACCTTGTTGTTGTTTTTTTTGGATTCTTGATAGGTTTTTATTTTCTTCGAAAAACTACTGAAAATACACTACATATAAGTTATAGATATTCACTTCTTAAATACTTAATTCACCCAACAATTTGTTTTTACGAAATTAATTTTAGAACCGATTGTGTTAAAAATTAAATTTAAATGGACAAGAAAAAAAGAGAGTAAAAACAATCTCATTTTTAATTGTACAATATTTTATATATCCTGATAATAATTCCATTTTGATCTTTGTATGAATTAAAAAGGAAACACTACGTATTCTTCGCCACAGGAAACACTCTGACTCGGATCACTTTCCTCAGTAGATTGGCCTGAACTATGTCCCATTCATTTTATCATATGCATACGTATATATGTTGCTATGTGAAAAATATCAAAGAATGAATTATCTAATTTACCTTATTAACCCCAAATAAATGACACTTTGTTTTAGATGTATCATTTACTAACATATTACCGTACGTCCCCTAACGTTCAAACGTTCACTAGGGGGACAAATTTGAAGTGACGTAATTGTTCGATCATGCATATATAAGCGTCAGCTTCCATAATACTTCTAAAAAACTGCCAGTCTGTACCATGTCAAATTGTTGAAGATAAAAAAATATCAACATTGCACCGAGAAAATTAGTGACTCGACATAAACGTTGAGTGTTTTGTCATGTTAATAGTATATCATATTTGTGTCACATGCTTTTAATTTATTTGATCAAAAGATTTTTTTTTTGTAAATGATAGTTATCGACTTTCCGTGATGGTTGACAACTTTTTGTACAAAGTTAGTTATGACAATTGCCATTTTCTTTCATTTGCTTCTATAATACATTCATGATTAAAAGATTATGCTGAAAAATGTTTGTCTTCTACATTCATGATAAATGATTATGCTGAAAAATATTTGGACAAAAGATTATGCTGAAGAATGTTTGTCTATTACATTCATGACAAAAGATTATGCTGAAAAATGTTTGTCTACTACATTCATGATAAAAGATTATGCTGAAAAATATTTGTCTACTACATTCATGATAAATGATTATGCTGAAAAATGTTTGTCTACTACATTCATGATAAAAGATTATGCTGAAAAATGTTTGTCTACTACATTCATGATAAAAGATTATGCTGAAAAAATGTTTGTCTACTACATTCATGATAAAAGATTATGCTGAAAAAATGTTTGTCTACTACATTCATGACAAAAGATTATGCTGATTATTATTATTATTATTTAGTTACGTTTTTGTCATATCTAAGTATTGGTTACAGTGCAGAAGTATTGTTTCAGTAAATTATAGGTTAAATGGCATTTTGATAACTTGTTCCTTCTTTAACTATACCATCTTTATTAAGAAAAGAACTATCATCTTACAACCAACATTTTGAGAAAATTTAAACTTTATCAATATCTATGTTTTATGAATCGCATTTTTTAAAAGTGAAGCGTCTTGGAGTATTTTATTCCATTTACTATTTAAGACTTGCAAAAATGACTCTGCAGCAGAATCATTATGCTCGATGCTTATAAAAAATGACTAAAATTAATGGCTAATTAATGGCTAAATTTTCTAAATTGAATCATAAATGGTAATGTTAGATGAAAACTAATTTTGATATTGTATTTCTCACAAAAAAGGCAGGAATTGATAGAGGTGTTCGAATACAAACGAGCACGTGAGTCAACTTAAGTATTTTTTTCAAGTTCGGCATATGGCATTCTGTACAGATGTGCTAAAAAATCTTAACAATTGTTGACCTTTTTCTAGATATGAAAATAACATTTTTTCTTTTTTTTTCATCTAAATAATGAAACCTCATATATGATGGCCTTTTAAAAAGTGCAATTTAAATTGCGTATCCATGACTGACTTTCATAAATGTTCAAGTTCAAAATAGTGAAAATAAACAATACTAAATATTTTAACATATAAATTATTACCAGTATAACAACAAGGGAAATTTAGACTTATTTCAAATTTTACTTCAACATTTCATGTAAAACTGGTTACGTTATTACATGTTAGTATCAATACAATACAATACAATACAATACAATACAATAGAACTTTAAAAAATGAATCATAGATACAAATTATAGTAAAATATATCTATGTATTTGTTGTTTTATTTTTGTAATTTTGATGTTTTCAGTTTAAAAAGGGGATTATTTCTCTGCCTTTAGAATGAAAATCAAACTACATGTATTAATGTGTAAAAATTATTTTAAGAAACGATTACGAAATTGAAAAATTCAAAGACATTCAATAGAAAATAAACTCACCTATAGATATTCTATTTTGCAAAACACTTTTCTCCCTTCTCCAGCATGTACACTCAACAATGACTTAACTGAAAAACACTAAAAACTAACAGCTTATAAATAGCAAAAAATAAGTGCCTTATTTGATCTTTGTACATAGGTTATAACAAATGTCAATTGTCAAAAGTCATCATTGGATATTACCGCTAAGTGAAATATGGGCAAACGATTCTAAAATCATGTAATACTGAGGTACTGCATGTTATACACGATGCCCGTGACAATTAAGACAAAGCGCACGAAACTCCGCTGACAACTCGTGTGTGCATTATTCTTCCCCATGCATTTTGTTGGTTCGCAAACGTATTGTTTTTACAACCTTTTAATGTATTGAATCTAGTTATCGTACAATTGTGCAGAATAATTAGCACAACAAGGTAGGTTGTCAAATAATATGTAAACTCATGGAGTGTCATTGCATATTTGTAAATTGGACACAAGTGCCCATTGCGTACAAAACTAAATTTGTTGATGTATTTTGTATGTAAATAATTATTAACAATGTTTGAAACGTTGACGTTTGTACTAATCATGTCATTTCAATTTTGATCTGTGCAAGATTATTTTTCCAATATGGGTCATGAAAATTAATCAATGAATAAAACACATTATAAGTCCTTTTGTCATTTTTGTATTTTGTCAAACAGGGTCACCGACTGGACTGGTTTACTGATCAGTTAAGATATTTGATACATATAAAAGAGAAAAACATGAACAATACAATGTTATGCATAAAACAGATTCGGCGTTTTTATGGAAACAAATATAAATGATGTCAAATTTAAACAAAACAGTCGTTTTGGCTTTAAGCAATGCATACGTTTTTATGCTTAGTGAAATTTGTATTCGTAATCCGATGCAAGACAGACTTGTGACAGGAAATAAGGAAGTTTATGGAAAATTAGATATTATAAATGTCGTTTATAATATCTAATTTTCCATAAACTCATTATGAGTATATTCTCAAGCACTTTGTGAATATCTCGTATGTCATAAAAAAACAAATGTATTTATTCTAACATAAAAGAAAATTTTAACCAAAAGATAACACATCATGTAAATTTACTATTGGATTAATCAGTCAGTTTAATAAAAATGACTATTGAAAAACTGAAAATTAAGAAATCCACAAGACGAGGTGAAATGGTGCCAAACACAAATGAATAATTGAATCAATAATCAATAATAGTATTACTGCTAGTATTTTCCTAGTTCTGGCTTCCAAAACTTTATAAGTCGCTATTTAACATTTTTGTTTTTCATCTGATGCGGAATGTCATAGTATATAAACGGGTACGCTGAAGACCTTAAGCTAGTATTTTCTCAGATGATTTAAAAAGAGCTAGAGTTATGCTAATTTTTAAATCGAGAGATGAAAATGAAGCAAATGTAAAGTTGACGTCCAAATATACAATGTACCAAGCTGGGAAATATCAACAATCAGGATTTCGAGAATAAAAAGTTCTTGCTTTGTTTTATTTAAGTCATATCTTTCTAACGTAACACAACTGGTTAAGATAAGTTATCGGACAATGAAAGTAATTTCTAGTGTTCCACAAGATTCAATATTGGGACCTGTATTGTTTCTAATATACTTCTTATATGACATAGCTGTCATAGTTGAGAATAGAAAAATAGAATAAAAAATAAAGATCTATACGCAGATGATTCTACACTTAATTAGTCCGGAGAATCGATAAATAAAAAATATAATTAAACTGCAACATCACTTAAATGACATTGAGAAATAGTGCAAAAATCAATAAGATGACCTTAAATGGGGAAAATAAAAAAGTATGGTGATAGAATTAGTGAATAAATGAATGAATGAATGAATGAATGAATGAATGAATGAATGAATGAATGAATGAATGAATGAATGAATGAATGAATGAATGAATGAATGAATGAATGAATGAATGAATGAATGAATGAATGAATTTTTTTTTTCATTTTTATATGTTTCATATGACATGAGTGATAATATAGTATGTGTTAACGTTATTCCATTGAATAAATCGATACGAATAACATATGCACATTCACGGATTTATATCACATGCAATATAAATCCGTGATACATTGTAACTAGTATATCATCACAAAGCAGTATGAATAAGTGAAATAAACATAGCTGTTTATAAAAAATAAAATATAAGAATTTTAGTTCCTTCTTCTTCTAAGAAAAACCTACACTACTTCATAAAAAACGAAGATTATGTAAAGGCGGTGATGAAAAGTCACATGTTAAAATGTAGATGAAAAGTGTAATGTAATTATTGTGAATGTAAATAATTATATTCAGATTTTTTTTGATTTTTTTTTTGTAAAAATATTGGTAAGATTACTTGGAATGCTGACAGTAAGAAATGTGTGAACGTCCATAAACGTTATATAATTCTACTTGTAAAACGTCTGACTGACGTTGCCCCATGACGACATTACAAAAACGTATTCGTCTATAATAAAGAGAGATAACTCAAGATTAACAAAATGGCGACCGCAGCGGAATTGGGATTTACGAGCGTTCTTCCAAGTACACAAAATGGCACATTCAATGGGGTAAGAACATAAACTTGTTGTCAATATTTTAAACTCTGCGATAGTTTATTGATATGAATCATATCTAGGAGATATTCTATAATAAAACGTGAATATATCGTTGATCACACGTTGAAAATTTTGCCGAAAAAAGAAATGAAAAAAAATAAAAAAAATTTTGTATTATCACAACAATTTTTGAAAGTGTGAAGGGAATGAGACATTGTTTAGACATAAAACTTGTCATTTTTTCTGTCTTATTAGCTAGGAACAGCGACGATAATTTGCGCATGTAATTAATCATGAGTCAGTTGAATTTGTTGAAAAATAAAAATTACCTCCCCTGATCTTTCTTTTTGTCAAATGTTGATGTTGAATGACAAATGATAACAACAATATTGTTAGCAGCCTGATAATGTTTAAGTAGAGCTGTCATTCTGTCGACTCAATGAAAACACATTGATGATACATAAATAAAAAAGGCTTGGCTCTTCCATCAGAGCACAGGTTAGTCCTAATTATAAGACCTATACGTAACCTATTTCATGTACGTATTTATCATTCAATAATTTGATATTTTACATTTTTCATTTTCCGTGTTACGTTAGGTCTTAACAGATCTTTGCAAAATCGTGTAGCAAAAAAATTGACATTAGACATCGATTTAGATCTAATGCATTTAAACAATTAAAACAGCGTGTATTTACATTAATTTTGACCTATTTATGAACAAAACTAAAAAAAAATACCTTTTAACAAAATAATTGAACTGTCACATCCGAAAAGTCATGATTAAATCCTCTCATTTAATTAAATTACTTGTACAGCCGATATACAAATGGCCGCCATACAGTGCGCGAAATCTGATTGGCTAATTCAAATGCAAGCATTTAAATGAGTCCAGAAGTTTCTAACGGAATATTTTTTCAACGAAATAAATTGCCCATGCACCGTCAGTGTGTTCGAATATACTTTTCCGTTCAAAAAATTGGAATCAATCTGTAAAACGCTTTACTTAACCAGTATGGCCGATGAGCGAAATATATTGATATTTATATTTTATTTTTAATTGATAAGTACATTGTTTGAAAGTTTTTGTTAATGATAGACCATGCAATTGAAAGAGCAGAAGATAGGCTTTTGAATAAAGCTTGAAAGGCAAGTCAACAGACAACTGACATTTTTTTAATTTTTCAAAATGCTACGCGTTTATGAGCAATAACTATTAGACGTCAGGCTTGACCAACATAAAACTATAACAAGCCTGTAACGTCTAATCTATTGGACTAAGCACAGGTATCCCAAAGGTATATGTAAATTTAATGACTGGAGAAACTGAAAGAGGTTTCCTCAAAATGACAGTACGGCAAACTTATCATATATAACACAACAGGTTGTTTTTTCGGCAGACTTGATTTATAATATCAATTATCATAGACATTAATTTGTTTGATTTCATGCATTTAGAAATAAGACCTTAGAAGATAAGTATGCCTTATTCTCATCGATTCGTGCCTTCTCATCGATTTGTGACCTAAATAATTGTCTGGTATAAATACTTCTGCAAGGACACACACCATCCGAAAACTAGACAAGTTTTATTAGGCACTCGATTTGACAATTCTATCCAATCAAAATGCGTAACTGAACAGGTGTAAATGAGCTTAGTCTACAATCAGCTGATGACCTAATTACTTTAAAATATTCGATATTGATGTTTTAATTTATCAAACACACTTACAATTAAGCCAAAAAATATTCATTAAGAATTTACATAAAATTTTGAAACATATATTGATAAGATCGGACTGAAAATAACCATGCGAACATTTAGTGGTGTGAGCACCTATATTTTGATGACGTCACAGGGTGAATCAGATTTCACGAATCGATGGGTAAGCGTACAGCTGAGCAAGACAGTCATGGTTGACATGTTGAGATACTCTTATCTTTGAGTGGTTGTTTTTAGAAGTAATTTAAAGTTTTTGAACTTTAAGATAATAAATTTATTTAACAAATGCGCTAATTGAACTGTATGTATGTCTGATATTTGTTGTGCAAGTGCAATTTTTCAAAATAAGAGTCACGAATCGACGAGAGAAAATCATAATATATTTATTTGATCTACATGTTAAAATTGAATTCAAAACATTATAAATGACATAAATATACATATGTTGCCTGCTGCACAGTAAATGGGCCAATTGTGTTAGCATCTAAGTCAAAAAATAAAGTTAAACATACAAGACAATATTTGCTCTTTTTAAGTACCTTAGGGTGTCTATAACAATATTTTTGGAAAGAAAGGATAACTTTTTGGATACCTTTTTCAAAATATTACATCTCTTGCAGACTGTGCGGGTAGGGGACGGATGTTACAAAGATATACTTAAAGTCTGAATATCTTACAGTTTATAATAAAAATTGTATTATTTCTCTTTATTTTATTAAAATATTATGTGTTCTGATAAATGTTAAAAAAAAATCCAGAAAATTCATCTTAGATATAAAAATATTTGCTTTCAAATTTTCAGGATTTTTCACACAAAATTAAATTTTCAAACATGTTAGAAACAGAGAGAAAAAAACAAGGATAGGTACACCAAATCTTACTTAAATCAAATATGCAAACACATTTCTTATAAAACAGTAGAAATTATAGGACTTTCTTATGTATATTTCTTGTCAGATAATCCAAAAATGAATTGAATCAGGGGGACGGATGTTACATTTTTGGGGGGACGGATGTTACAATCGATGTTTAAAGCTCATAGTTCATACTTTTTTTGGTTTTATTTTAAAGTAATGAAATTTATAAGAGTATATGCTTTGTACAGTACAATAAATGTAAAATAATTGAACAAATTATGAGAAAAATGTAGAAATATACCTGACAATTATGTAGTTTCTTACAATGAAAAGTTTATTGACTTAGTTTTCTTACATTTGAATGAACATTGAAATGTTTGGAATAAAATAAAAACATTGCTAATTAAATAAAAGAACCTTTGTTTCCAGATAATGCATTAACGTTAAAGAGAGAATGTCATACCAACGGTACCTTTCTATACATGAAATTATTTACAAATTACTTTAGTTAAATAATAAGATTTATATTTGTAAAAGATATGATACAGTGTGAAGTAAATAAGAAGTTTTCAGATTGAAACATATGCAAGCTTGAATTTCTCATTACTAAATACATAAATTATACACAATTAAAAATTTTCATTAAAAATGATAAGATTTTAAATTGTTACAATTAAGTTCTATCGATTTGATGAAATTTTAAGTAAATTAATGTGGAATGTTAGCAGCATTTTCCAAAGATTTCATTATGATTCAGTATCATAATCTCATTATTTCTAACTTTTAATAATTGTCTTTATAAATATTTCAGTGTACATGAACTGCTTAACTTAATGAACTAATTTGTCATTCAATAAAATTTATAGGTGCAAAATAATTTGCCAAGGGTTTATTTACAGAATAACTTTTCATTACAGGAATCCTTACCATATCCTTTACTTACAAGTTTCTTTCACTTTATTAACAATAATTAAATGGGTCAAATTGTATGAAAATGTGCTTGAGTTTTTATGGGGGAAAAAATCTAAAAATTTTAATCAGGGTGTTGAATTATATTTCTTTGTTTAATTTTCATTGACTACATATTTAGCCTATACATTTTTGAAGTTCAATAAATCCTTTGACTTAATTAATCTTCAACTTTAATACTTAATGACAGACATTCTTGAATAAGATATGGTAGTCCCTCCCACTGTTTTTAAGCATAATATATATCACCCTTAATTGGCACCCCTACTGTTTTGTAATATATCACACTTCCCAATATACAATATACACAGCTCCCAATATACAGCTCGTTAACTTCCAATAAAGTGCCAGCCCCTTCTGTGTGTATAGAGTAAGGATCCATATCCCACTGTTTTATGAGGGGCTGGGATACATGGTTTGTTAACTATTTAAGGCTAAAGAATTTATGTTTAAACAATTGACCAATTTTAATCACAAAGATACTTTCAACATCTCTATCGTTTGCACCTTTTTCTATATATCCTGTTATGGATTTTGTGTTTCTTTCTTCTAGTTTTTTTTTTTTTAATTGTATTTCATTTGTTGTGTGAAACATTCCTATACAGTTGCAAAGCTTACTACTTCTCTATCATGCATCATAAGAACAAGATAAGTTTTGTATTACTGTAAAAAGAATTTTTAGTTCAATTCTGTAACATCCGTCCCCTTCTGTACTCTTAGTTTGTAAACATAGCATGACAAAAGATTATATTTGTTATAAATTCATATAAGCTTAAATATTATCTTAATAAACTCATTGGTCCACTTGAGGTTAAAAAATAACATATACATTTTATTTCAAAGTAAATAATTTTGATTTCAGAGCAAAAAATACTGATTTTTTTTCAAAATTAAGGAATTTAGTGTTCACAAAGCATTTTTTCCCCCATAAATACATCATTTCAGTGCTTAATTTCTGTTATTTCTTCATTTTTCAATGTCACTTTGGTGTTTTAGTGTAAAATTCCCTTTTCAGTTACAGTTTATATGAGATTTAATAAGCACCTTATATAGGGGGACGGATGTTACGGGGACGGATGTTACAGACAACTTTTACATTATTTTATTTTTTTTCTCATAAACATAGAAATTGGCAATTTTTGTAACATTTTCATTGTAAGGCTATCATTAAAGCACCAGTAACATTGTTTTTTATGAGTATTGTTTTAAAAATTGGATTTTTTATTAGAGGGGGCACGGATTGTTACAGTTTTTTCATCACAAAATTTTTTTTACCCACCATAATGCCTACTATGGTAAAAATAATTGAAAATTTGAATTGAAAGCACTTTACATATGTTTTTAATTCATATTTCATTAGATTGAGACAATAAAGTACTATTTTATTTGTAACTGCTTAAAGGTATACTTGTTTACTTAACAACTGAATTTTGAAAAAACTGACGCATTACAAAAGTCTGATTTTACTAAAATCATCTTAACGATAAAAACCAGGATGATGTATACCAAGTATTATATATCACTGGAAAGGTTATTAAATTTTCTATGTGCATGTAACAAAATTTAAGTGATAAATTAAAACAGATAATAGTGGTGTTAATTCTAAAAACACCAAAAAAACAAATGCTAACACATTACATGTAAAAATGGACATTTTTAGGGTATAAAAACATCTGTAAATTTATTTTGGGTAATGCTATCCCAAAAAAATTTTGGGCACATTTGCTTTATAGTAAGTCCTTTGTAAAAACACAAAAAAATGATAGAAAATGCAATATATTTTTTGAAAAAGCCTGCATTACATGTATTTTTGAAAAATTGGCCCATTTACTGTGCAGCAGGCAATATGTCTTATAGGAGAGTTTACAGAACATGTTGAATAAAGAAACTCATAGTGTTGGTAAAAACACTTGATATCTATAGACTATGTCAAAATAGGTTGTATTTTATTATGTGTCAAGTACCTTTTAATATGAAATTGACAAAACCAGTTTCACATCTCTTCATACATCAGAGCTCCAGATAATTTTTTATGCAATTAGTTTTAAATTTACTTTTTTATTATGTTTTTTTTTTCTCCACATTTTAGGTTGGTCAAGTTGGAGTTGTTGGGTTTGGAATGGGTGATGGTCTGTCCTTCAAAGTCAAGTTAGAAGGTAAGGTATCCAGCTATGGAGTGTAGCATTGAGTGTGTTGAAATCTGTATTGAGTCACATTTATAATTGCATAAATGATTTGAATAATACAGATTTTTTCACTTTCATGGTACACACATTGTCTGTGGTTTGTCAATGTTGCTAGACAATTGTTGATTTCTTGTGGAATTTGCAGTCATATGATGATAAAAAAAAAACACAACAGCTTTTCATAATAATTATTATGTCGAGCTAGGTAAGTATTAATGCAGTTTATTAATGAGGAGACATGCGCAAATATTATAACATTCACTTTGAGAGAAATGAAAACAAAACACAACAGTGACTAAACAACACCTTGATAGATGCACAAGTTTGATAAGATAGAGGGAAGGAAAAATAGAAAAGAGAATTTAACTCATTTTTTAAAAAAGGGTTTTTTAAATAAATCTAAAATTTAAACTTTTTTGGGGAGTGTTTATATTTTAAAAGTAAATGTATAAAAAAAGACAAAAATTTTAAAAAATTTTTGGGGGAAATATTTAAAGATTTTTCAAAAAAAGTGTTTTAAAGGGGTGGCCCCATGAGGAAACATAGGGGAAAGAGTATCTGTGAATTGTAGTGTTTTATATAGTGAATTCAACAAGCGTTTTTTTCTCTCTTGTATTTTTCGAGAGCTTGTCTTGTACTACGAAATGGAAAAGATCTAGATGAAAACAGACACTGGAGTACAGAATAGAATCACAGAAGTGTTGCAGAGAAAAGAACCATTGGTACTCCTGAAATTGTGTTGATTTTAGGAAAAAGTCTTCTTTTTTTGGAGCAAAATTCATCTTTTTTTCTCAATAATTATTTACTTTTGTGAAACGTTTTAAGCACTAAAAAAATTTACATATTTTGTTTTTACTGTCTTTGCTATTTTTTCTCTCTTCAATATATTTTTGAAAAAATAAATGTTATAAGTCCAAATTATGTCTGAAAGGTTTTAATTGGCATTTTGTTGAAATTTTATTTACCCTAAAGTTTAGAAAAAAGTAGTCTAAATAAAAAACATAACACAACAGAATCTCATTTTAATTCCAAATTTTTTACTTGATAAAATAATAAAAATAAATTTTTAATTTTTAATAAGTTTTGTACCAGTTGTGGGATATTACTATGATGGTGGACTTTTTGTAACTTGTTACTTTTATCCTGGATATACATGTATTTTTAACTGACTTGTTTTCATTATTCTTCTTACTTATGAGTTTAATCTTATTATGCCTTATAGAGCTTAAAAGAAATTGTTTTGTTCAATTATGATTATCATTTTTTCCCAGACTTATTAAAGGAAATGATTAGACAGTCACAATTTAAGACAAAGTTATTAAAGAAATTTAACATTGTTTTGAGATGAATTTTTTTTCTTCTAGTAAAGATTCACATATGATGTGTAAGATTTTTTATGTGTAACTCTTACCCTGCTGGAACCGAAATTGATTAGTTTTTCTGTGCAGTCTGACCAGACAATTGGCTGATTAAATTTAATTTTCCATCTTACCATACCTAAAATTGATAATGAAAAGTCCCAAAAATAAATAAATGGAAAAAAAGTCTCAAAAATGGAAGCGGGACAAAAACATTTAAAGGCCCATTTTGCCTCAGAAACGCTTTTATTTTTATTTCACAAAAACTTTTTTCTGTACTTCAATAGAATCCAAAAAGTTACTCATTGGCAAATTACCTGAAACATCTTTTTTCATCAGTTGCTTTTTGGCAATAAGTACAATTATGGTGAATCAGTATTTTGTATGGAAGTCAAAATACAACTTTGTTTACATTTTGCTACTTTTATGACAAATTATTACACTTTTATTGCTACCTTCTTCAGGTACATTGTAACAAGCAATGTAATACTCTCTAAAATCATTATTTAAACATTATAAAATTCATATTTGCCATTTCTAAAGAATTAAAAAAAAAATTTGTTTCTGAGGCATTATGTGCCTTTAATGAAATTCAGCAGGGTTTGAGTTTGTATAGTTTTGTATATATATTGGGAAGATTTGCACAATTAACAAATGTTTACATGCTTATATATCCTCTTTCTGTTTCCATATATTTTCAGCTGTAAAACAACACATGGTGCTCCCACAGTTTAGACTTGCAGTCTATTCCCTATGTTCTATATGAAAATTGCTTTCATTTTAAGGATTTTTTTATATCTTATACTTATACTAAAAATTGCTTTATCCAAAAACAGTTGATACATGTAGTTGTTTTTGTGTATTTGAAAATATGTTTTGTTTCATGACTTGCATTTTGGTTACAAGTCATTGAATGGGCAAAATGAAGTTAGTATGTAAATGTGTCTGAATCTTTGTCTATACATTGTCATCCAACTGGATCAAGTGCTTAAAATTATAAAAATTATAAAACTCTGGTGAGCAATCTAGGGTCATAATTGCCCTCTTGTTGTGTGTTTCTTTAATTACTGAAGTTAGATGTGTTGAAAGAAAACCAAAAAAATATATTCAATTGTCTATTTTCAGTTTTTCATTGAATCATATCCTTCTGAGTGACTTCTACGCAGGATTTGAAAATTCATTCATCATTATACAAGAAATGGGACATCATTTAAGAATCCTGTTTGGTCAAAAGTTTTAAAATGTGTGATAAAAATCTTAGTCAAAAAGATTATTTCTTTGTTGAAGTTTTCCAATATCTTATTGGTTCATAAAAAATATTTGTGTTAATTTTGTTTTAGAAAAGATATTGCAAGCATGTTTTTGCTATACAAATTTGAACATTTCTTAAAAAAAATAACAACAATATTTAAATTATGTGATGACCAAAAAAAGTAGCATTAAGGGTAAAATTAAAAAAACGAGTTGAATAAAATGTTGATATGTGGAGCATATGTTTAAACTGGAGAGATTTTCTCTTTTGTGTCTTTCAGTACTGTGGTTATTCAAGGATGTTGCCGTGGCTTCGAGATGTTTAAAAATATCTACAAGCTTCAAGGAAGCCAGTCTTTAAAAAAAAAACAAGCACATTTTGTTTATCAGCACTTAACAAAAAACTTAAATGCTTACTTTTGTCAAAAATCATGATTATTTTTCATGCTAAAATGCAAAGAAAATTCCATCACATATCAAGAATGTCTTAGTGACAAAGAAACTTTAGTAATCATTTCGGAAAGGAACACAATATTTTTCAATGCGATTTCCCTTTCCAGATCAGTTTCATATTTTAATATCAGCAAATGGATTTTAAAAAATTTGCAAAATCATAATTATTTGTAAATTACAAAATCTGATTTTTTTATATTTTGAAAATTGCAAAATCTGAATTATTTGAACAGAAATCATGGAAAGCACTTTTTTCTGTTTTCTGTATTTTCAGCACTTAAATCCTTTCTGGAATGAGAGTTGCCGTTTAACTTGAAAAAAAAAACTGTGGAAAAAAAAAGGGGGCATACATACTGAAAAGGCACTATAACATAACAGGTTTAAATTGTGTACTTAAATGATTAGACAAATAAAACTATTTCTAGTTTCAGCAGCATGTAATATTAAAGCTAGATCTCTAGCCTCAGTTTGAGAGAGCGTTAGGTAGACCCTTTATATATGAACTAAAATTCCAGACATTGCTTATTCTTGAAAACAGATTTCTGTTAAAGATAAGTTCAGGATTTGACATTAAATCAAGTGTTTTAAAAAAAAAAATGAGATGGTACAGGTATCACGTAATGTTGGAAGGTAAATTGAAAGTATTGAAACGCTAACCAAGAACACTTGAAAGGTTATTTACTAGCCATTTTGTGGCCAAATGTTGTTGCAAACATACCTTGAACCCACATTTGACATAACCAATTTAGGAGCTAAAATGCATATCTTAAGTTGTATGCTGAAATATAAAATCATTTTAGAAAAGAAGAAAAATTATTATTTGGTTCACCAAGAGCAGATAAAAAGGTCATTTAAAAATCTACATTTATGTTTTATTGAATCAAAACATTTCTTTTCCATTTTATTCTTCATAAAATTATTTGACTGGGTCTGTTCCATGTTATTGTTAAAATGAAAATGTTGTAGTGCATATTTTAAGTGTTAAGATAAAAAGATTTTGTAGATTTTCAATAGTTTGCCCATAGAAAACTTTAAGAGCTAGCTCACTAACTTGTTTGCTCTTGGTGAGTTGATATAAATTTACAGATATGAATCTTATGTAATTGGCTCACTCATTAAGTGATTTATTATTGGGATATATTTGTGAAATAACCTGCAATGACAGGTTTCGAGGAAAGAGAATTCTATTTTTATTTTCAGTTTGCATTCTCCCGTGTTTGTAGGTCAGATGATTTCAGTGAAAGGTTGAATTTCCCGTGCACAGACACTGGTTGACGGAAATGCCAGCTCTTTTTTCAATCTCTATTTCAGATTCAGAATCATTTTCTCTTAACTTTTCAGGAATTAATTTCATGTCTTTATATGCATATTACAATTTATTTATACCCTGTGTTTATGTTACTGTTATATGAAAGTTTTGAGGTTATTTGTGAATTTTTATATTTTTTTTTCATTTTACTAACTTTGTATTTTGTTATAAAAAGACACTATGTATGGGAGATCAATTATTTCTGTTAAGTTTTTGTGAGAAACATTTAGGACACATTTTAAGTCCATGACAATTCATTAAGTTTAGGTTTTTTTTCCTTACAGATATATAAAAAAAAGTGCAGGTACTGTAAAATCAGATATATATGTGAGGGGAAATTCATGCAAAATCAACATTTATGACTAAATAGAAAAGTAAAGTATTCTCAAAATTTTACCATCAATTCCGTTTCATTTATACAATATGTAGATATTATGCAAACATTCATTTTTGTGAAAATCTTCAGTTTGCAAAAAATTAACTCCTCACAAAAATTCTGACTTTACAGTAATTAAATGTATTGTTTGATTTAAAGGTTTATATGACAGAATGTTTGAGAGATAACCTGACTCACAGGTGATGAAATAGTTTCAAAACTTTTTAGATTCAGACCGAGAGAGAGAGGGAAAAATAGAATATAACATTATTGAAAGTTTTAAGGAATAGGAATTTTGGCCGTACATTTGATTACGCTTAAGTCTTGAGAATTGTTGTTGCGATGATACCATATGTATGTTTTCCTTCTTTTCTGTATTTTTATGTGCTAGCAATAAGTGGGCTATCCCGCATGAAAAGATGCGAAAAAAACACGGTCACCCCGACAGAAATATCACCTTGTTGACTCCGGACAGAGAAGTGGTAACAAAAACTGTTTAAAAGCAGAGAAAAAAAACTTGAATTGTATATTTCTTACTCTAGATGTTTTTTTTTGCTCAATTCTGAAATTTTGAAGCCCTCAGTATCTACATGTAGACCCCTCTTCTAATTTATCAAGTCTGTTAAATTTTTTTAGACAATTCATTTATTCAGAATCCACGTTGGTTCTTTTATGGTGTAAATAGTTAAAGTGATGAAAGTGAATAGATTGGTGCAAAAAGTAAACTCTAAAATAAAAATTTACTGTTATTCGCAAATGTGTCAAAATTTGAAGTTTTATTGGTTGTTTAATGGTGGAAATTGAAAAAAAAAATGGGGATGCTTTTGACAATTAATGTACATACATCAAAAACTTATTGATTTAATTATAAGCTACAAAACATCGTTTTAAAATTTTGTGATATAAATATTTTTAAAATCCTGAGATGGTTGACATGCTTAAAAGCTATCTGCTCTTTGCCACAATTATTATACAAGACTCTTTAACTAGTGGCTATTGACACTCATTTTAACATTTTGATATGGAAATACCTTCATTAAAACAACATAGGACTGTTTGAACTTCAGTGATGCAAATTTTAATGTGTAATATTTTTACAGAATAATCTTCAAAATCTGCGAAGATTATCCTTTTAGATAGTATTTCGATTTGACCGAACTATTTGAAATCACAAAATCCTACATTTTTGACCTGATAAATGTACCTTTTGAATAGCCAGAATTTTTAAAACTTTTTTTATTTGAAGCGAAAAAACATTTAATGCCATCAAAATTGACTGATCCCCCCTGTAGATAATGAGGGCTTCACATAATTAATACATATACTGACTGGATTAATTTGCCATTTTAGATGATATTCCACAGTCGGATATGTCCGGGCCTGTTCTGGAGGGTCCAGGAGCTAAGAGAGAGTTGAAACCTTTTACTTTACCGAAGCTGACCTCATCCCAGCAAGATGCTCTCCAGTCTGCAAAGAAGTATGCCATGGAAGCCAGTATAAAGAGTGTACTTGTGAAACAAACCATAGCCCATCAACATCAGGTAGGATAATTGTTTATTACGTAAACTATGTTTTTTCATCGCACAAGAACTTGGAATGATTTGCTTGCCCCTTAAAAGTAGGTCCAATTATTGGATTGCCCTGAACAATCAGATGAATTATGTGATTGTCCAGAAGGAGTAGGCAGTTGTTCTGCCAAAGTAGTTTAAGGGAGCGGTGGCCAAGTGGTTAAGGTGTCTGCCTCTCAACCCAGAGATCATGGGTTTGAGCCCTACTCTGGTCACGACCATGTTTCTTCATATGACACCAGTACTGGTTGGTTCCAGGAAGAGAGCTCGAGTGAATAATATAATAATATAAGTTGCAAGAACTTGTTTCGCAATCAAGCTTGAATAAATATGTTTAAAACCAAAAAGATGGCAGAATAATGGGATCATCCCAAAAAAAGGTGGAGTTGTGAGATTGCCCCCTGGGGGGAGACAGGCAATTTTCTGGAGCACATCTACATGCATAGATGAAAGTATTACTTGATAGCATTATAGAGGGAGCAGTGACCTAATGTGTCTGCCTCTCAACTCCGGGATCATGACTTTGAGACCTACTAGGTTTAGGAACAAGATTTTTATCACATGGATGTGGACACAAAAGTGTTGAAAGTGGTCACTGAAAGTTGCAAAAACCTGTTTAACATTAAAATCACCATGAAAAGTAGTGAAGGGCACATGAAGTAGGTCTATGTTAATGACAATAGAAAATAGTTCACATGAAACATAACTTTGTTATATTTATATTTCAGCAAATGCAGAATTTCCAGAACACGGTACAAAGACAACAGGCTTTGGCTCTGATGTGCAGGTAAACTTTCCACCCTTTCTTTTATAATGGACTTGTCATACAATTGTTGGTTTTAATGATTTTGCTATTTGAGGTCTAAAATATTGGTTTGCAAGCTGGCCAGGATCTATTTATGTTGCACAGAGCTCTGGTAGGAGAAATAAAATTTATCATACGACTTATAAATTATAATATTTCATTCAAAGTTGCAAGTATCATAATAAGTAACGTCTTTTCTAAACATTTTCTGACTGCAGTATTACAAGCATAATTTACTTTTGTACCTTGTCTTGAATACTGTAAATCTCCTGTGAGAGACTTTGGATTCTTTCACGTGAGGAAGCTTTCTAGTTATGGAAGGTTGGTAGTTCTACTTAGATGCCTAGTTAGTGCTGTAAATAAAGCAAGAAGGGACACCTGAGGTCTTCATTCATCAGTAAAGCTGGAAGGTGCCATAGGATGATGACAGTGCCAGTGTAACTTCAAATCAATCAAAACAATCAAACTAACTGAATATGTGTCACTTTATATTCAGTCTTTCTTCTTTATTATATTTTCAGAATATATGTTGGAAGTATAAACTTTGAAATAAAAGAAGACACTATAAAACAAGCGTTCCTGCCATTTGGTCCCATCAAAAGTGTGAACCTGTCATGGGATCCCATTACAAACAAACACAAGGGGTTTGCGTTCATAGAGTATGATATACCAGAGGCTGCTCAGTTGTCACTGGAACAGATGAATGGTGTAATGATTGGTGGCAGAAATATAAAGGTAAAATTTACTTCTTTACTGTAAGAGTTAAGTGTGAATTATTTTTAGGTCTACTTCCTTTGAATAAAACACCTGACATTCATTCTCTTTGAAGATATTGTGAATTTTTTAAGGAATTGTCTGAGGTTAGCAATCTTTGGCCATCATGACCCTCTTGTCTTGTGATATGATTTAAGATAATAAATATATAATTACATGGCTTGTTTTCTCTGCAATATAGTCCTCATATATTTATTTCATATGACTCATGATTAATTTAAAACTCATTAGGTCATCAATCATTTATTAAGTCAGTTATTAATGTTATATTTGAAAAAAATGGGCTGTCATGGGCTGGTTCAGAGATGTTATAAATCTTGCCTCAGGCTCAATTTGTGATTCCTCTCCAGAATATGGACCTTTCTGGTGTTTCGTAGCGGAACATTTAGCCACACCTTTTCCATTCATTACTAGGTCAACTGCTCACAAACAGTATCACAAACATAAGCATGTGCTCTTTTGTGCAAACCAGGTCAACCAGTGGCTATGTATTATCTCAGTGTAGCGATTGGATAACAAGTTAGTCAATTGACATAAAACTGTAAACACCGGAATCAAGACTTAAGCGTAATCAAATGTACGGCCAAAATTCCTAGGTCCATTTTACTGAATGAAAAATCATTGTAAAATTTAATGTCCTTCACTGCATCTTCACCTGTAGACGCTAGTGAATAAGAAATGAGTCAATGATTAGAGAATGTCATGATTAATGATCAATCTTTTCTTAATTGTTATTGTTTTCAGGTTGGTCGACCTAGCAATATGCCGCAAGCACAGCCTATTATAGAGCAGATTGCTTCAGAAGCCAAAAACTACAATAGAATTTATATAGCCTCTATACATCCAGACCTTACAGAGAAAGACATCTCTAGGTGAGCTAACTAATATCAATTAACCTCAAGATATTTACATATTACACACTGCTCATCATTAATTGGGCATATAAAAGTTAATATTACTCGCTAAAGGTGTATTTTGCTAAAGATTAATTTCTGAAGTTTTCTTTGAAACAAGCATGTTTTTTACAGAAGTGTAACCTTCCTTTAGGACATTCTTTGTAACATTTTGGAAAAATAAGACAAGTGACGTGTGTGTGTGTGTGAGTTATTTACAGAACTGAAGTATGTATTAACACTTCACTTACTGATTTCTTTGAATGTACTTGTCCAACTTCCATTTTTATGCTCCCCGAAAAATTTCGGGGGAGCATATAGTCGGCGCCTTGTCCGTCTGTCTGTCCGTCCGTCCGTCTGTCCGTCTGTCCGTCCGTTGTCTTGTCCGGACCATAACTTGAAAACCCTTGGAGATAATTTGTTGAAACTTCATACAGTGGTAGAGGGCATCGAGGGGGAGTGCAGTGTCAAAGAACCATAACTCTATTTTGCCCGGTTTTTGAATTATATCCCCTTATAGAAAAATCTTGTCCGGGGCATAACTCTAAAACTATAAGAGATATCAACATGAAACTTTGTAGGTGAATAGATCTCAATGGGTAGATGTGCAGTGCATAAGAACAATAACACTTTTCATCCTAATTTTGGAGTTATTGCCCTTTGTTAATTTTAATACTTTGAACTTTGTCCGGAACATAACTTGAAAACCCTTGGAGATAATTTGTTGAAACTTCATACAGTGGTAGAGGGCATTGAGGGGGGGTGCAGTGTCAAAGAACCATAACTCTATTTTGCCTGGTTTTTGAATTATTTCCCCTTACAGAAAAATCTTGTCCGGGGCATAACTCTAAAACTATAAGAGATATCAACATGAAACTTTGTAGGTGAATAGATCTCAATGCGTAGATGTGCAGTGCATAAGAACAATAACTCTTTTTGTCCTAATTTTGGAGTTATTGCCCTTTGTTTATTTTAATACTTTGAACTTGAACTTTGTCCGGAACATAACTTGAAAACCCATTGGAGATAATTTGTTGAAACTTCATACAGTGGTAGAGGGCATCAAGGGGGAGTGCAGTGTCAAAGAACCATAACTCTATTTTGCCTGGTTTTTGAATTATCTCCCCTTATAGAAAAATCTTGTCCGGGGCATAACTCTAAAACTATAAGAGATATCAACATGAAACATTGTAGGTAGATAGATCTCATTGAGTAGAGGTGCAGTGCAAAAGAACCATAACTCTGTTAAGCCTTATTTTTGAATAATCGCCCCTTTTAGAAAAATCTTATCCAGGACATAGTTGTAAAACTATAAGAGATATCAACATGAAACTTTGTAGGTAGATAAATCTCAATGGGTAGATGTGCAGTGCACAAGAATCATAACTCTACCTTGCCTAATTCTGGAGTTATTGCCCTTTGTTTATTTTTACTTTTTGAATTGTCCAGGACATAACTCGGAAATCATAAGAGATATCATCAAGAAACTTTGTAGGTTGATAGATCACATTGATTAGAAGTGCAGTGCAAAGAACTGTAACTCTGCCTTGCCTAATTTTAGAATTATTGCACTTTGAACTTTTTCCACGGACATAACTCTGAAACTACAAGAGGTGTACTTTCCTGTGTCCAAAACCTATTCGGGGAGCATCACCCGGCTCAAACCGGGCTCTTGTTTGGAATTGTCCGTAATGAATTTTGAGGATATAATGTAGAAAGTTGAATTTGATGAGCCAACAGTATAGGACCTGGTCAGGCTACTCTCAGATGTGTGGTTGGCCTGGGCAAAAAGCTTTACACTTTCAGTGATAGCTGGGTAAGTGTTAATGTTTTGCAGATGCAGTAATGCTAACATTTTATGCTACCAGTTAATAACATATATAATTTAGCAAATGTAATGGATTATATTTTTATATTTCAGTGTGTTTGAAGCATTTGGAAAAATTGTAAGCTGTATGCTGATTAAAGATCCAACATCTAAAGGTGGACTAAGACATAAGTAAGTTTCTTACTTGGTAGTCAGAACAGAAGTCAATGTATCTGATATCTTTTGCATTGTTGTATATATGAGTTTAAAGATATTTCTATAAAATTTGTGTCCATGTATTGATAAATGGTCTCACATATACAGACTTTATTGGTCTGTCTGAGGTTGGACAACATTAAATTTTGGCCATATCATCTCTGTTAGATAAACATATATAGATTCAGCATATTTTGGGTGGTGGCGGGAGGGCTGGAAACTGTATTTTGACATATTGAATACATTTTGATTTATTGAAATGCTGCATCTAAATGACTTTGACCTTAAGGTTAAATATTTCATTGTAAAAAATTTCAGTCACTGTTGCAAGGCAACTATTTTTGGGACATGGCTTTTATGTTTGCAAACATATCCTGTTTATTTAGATTCACTGACAAATAGAGTTTGCTTACATAAGAGGGTATTTTAGGAATATATACGGGTAGTGAAGCATGCATAAACTCTCAAATGTGACGTGTAGGAACTTAATGTTATGTCTAGGAACTAAATGTTATGTCTAGGAACTAAATGTTATATCTAGGAACTAAATGTTATGTCTAGGAACTTTGAACAGTACAGGAAACTGACTTACTAGGCATAAGATATAATCTGTCCATAGTGTTTGAATAAGTTCTGATCTAATGCTCGACATTATTCCCCAAATACTGCACATTTGAGTTGGAATGGTGCATTATTTTACTAATACTCACTCAAAATTAATATCTATTTCCTGAACAAAAAGAGAAAAAAATGTTAATGATTGTTTTATGTTTGTTGCAGGGGTTATGGTTTTATAGAGTACACAAATTCTCAATCTGCAACTGATGCTGTGGCATCCATGAATCTGTTTGATCTGGGAGGACAATACCTTAGAGTGGGGAGAGTAAGTATTTGATATTTTTATGTATATTTCAATTAGGAAAGTATCAATCGTTTTTGAGTACATTTGAATGGTTTTTGTGTATAAATGAACAGTTTTGGTGTATATTTGAATGGTTTTTGTGTATATTTAAATAGTTTTAGTGCATATTTGAAATAGATTGGTCATTTTAGTAGTTGAATGATAAATATGTGAAATAATTGAAATGATTATTTTGTATATTTGTATGGGTATTATGTATATTTCAATGATTGTTTTGTATATTTTTATTGGTATTATGTATATTTCAATAATTATTTTGTATATTTGTAAGGGTAGTATGTATATTTCAATGATTGTTTTGTATATTAGTATGGGTAGTATGTATATTTCAATGATTGTTTTGTATATTTGTAAGGGTAGTATGTATATTTCAATGATTGTTTTGTATATTTTTATTGGTATTATGTATATTTCAATAATTATTTTGTATATTTGTAAGGGTATTATGTATATTTCAATGATTGTTTTGTATATTTGTAAGGGTATTATGTATATTTCAATGATTGTTTTGTATATTTGTAAGGGTATTATGTATATTTCAATGATTATTTTGTATATTTGTAAGGGTATTATGTATATTTCAATGATTGTTTTGTATATTTTTATTGGTATTATGTATATTTCAATGATTATTTTGTATATTTTTATTGGTATTATGTATATTTCAATGATTATTTTGTATATTTTTATTGGTATTATGTATATTTCAATAATTATTTTGTATATTTGTAAGGGTAGTATGTATATTTCAATGATTATTTTGTATATTTGTAAGGGTATTATGTATATTTCAATGATTTTTTGTATATTTTTATTGGTATTATGTATATTTCAATGATTGTTTTGTATATTTTTATTGGTATTATGTATATTTCAATAATTATTTTGTATATTTGTAAGGGTATTATGTATATTTCAATGATTGTTTTGTATATGTTTATTGGTATTATGTATATTTCAATAATTATTTTGTATATTTGTAAGGGTAGTATGTATATTTCAATGATTATTTTGTATACACTGGAGCCGCGATATAGCGCTCATCGGTATAGCGCTTATCTCAGTAGAACGCTCATATGCCTTGGCTCCCAAAAAAAAAAATCGTATTTTTCGCCCATTATAATTTTTTTCATGTATATCAATACCGCACCTTATCCACTATAACGCTTGTTCAATGTGTCAGTCGAGTGCAATAAACAGTCATAATTACGTCACTCATGATAAGAAGGTGTGAAGTCATACACAGGTAAGCGTTAATCCGCTCTTTTGTTCATTTTGAACTGTTGATCAGTCAGGTATCAAACTGTTAGCTAAGACATGCAAACACCGACGAGTTAAGTAAATCACCCAAGCATACAATTAATTTTAAAAAGCATGCACTTTCGATCTATCTGCAAAAAAGTTGTTGAGGATGACTGATTTTTTCACAAGAGACAGCAGAAAAGACGATTAATTTAGTCCCATCCACTAGGTATCAATTTTCATGACCACACATAACTCACGTTAACACCGCTGTTTTACTGGAAATTTATAAACATTCATTCGTGGTTTATATTTTTAATTCGTAAATTTCATGTTTATATTAAAGATATTCAGTTATGCTTTACAAAATAATTTATAATAATATATAAAAAAGCTTGGACTGATATCCATTGGAAGGTAAGTAAACAATCAATTCCACTAACAAGCGTTATATGTTTCGGCGGTGGGTGGGGTAATGCGATATTTTTCGCTATAATTACAAAATGAGCGTTATAAAAAGTTACTCGTTACAACGCTGTCTTGAGATCATGGACCCCAACATGAGCGCTATATCGCGGCTCCAGTGTATTTGTAAGGGTATTATGTATATTTCAATGATTTTTTTTGTATATTTGTAAGGGTATTATGTATATTTCAATAATTATTTTGTATATTTGTAAGGGTAGTATGTATATTTCAATGATTGTTTTGTATATTTGTAAGGGTATTATGTATATTTCTATGATTGTTTTGTATATTTGTAAGGGTAGTATGTATATTTCAATGATTGTTTTGTATATTTGTAAGGGTATTATGTATATTTCAATGATTGTTTTGTATATTTGTAAGGGTATTATGTATATTTCAATGATTATTTTGTATATTTGTAAGGGTATTATGTATATTTCAATGATTGTTTTGTATATTTTTATTGGTATTATGTATATTTCAATGATTATTTTGTATATTTTTATTGGTATTATGTATATTTCAATAATTATTTTGTATATTTGTAAGGGTAGTATGTATATTTCAATGATTATTTTGTATATTTGTAAGGGTATTATGTATATTTCAATGATTGTTTTGTATATTTTTATTGGTATTATGTATATTTCAATAATTATTTTGTATATTTGTAAGGGTATTATGTATATTTCAATGATTATTTTGTATATTTGTAAGGGTATTATGTATATTTCAATGATTTTTTTGTATATTTTTATTGGTATTATGTATATTTCAATGATTGTTTTGTATATTTTTATTGGTATTATGTATATTTCAATAATTATTTTGTATATTTGTAAGGGTATTATGTATATTTCAATGATTGTTTTGTATATTTTTATTGGTATTATGTATATTTCAATAATTATTTTGTATATTTGTAAGGGTAGTATGTATATTTCAATGATTATTTTGTATATTTGTAAGGGTATTATGTATATTTCAATGATTTTTTTGTATATTTGTAAGGGTATTATGTATATTTCAATAATTATTTTGTATATTTGTAAGGGTATTATGTATATTTCAATGATTTTTTGTATATTTGTAAGGGTATTATGTATATTTCAATGATTGTTTTGTAAATTTTTATTGGTATTATGTATATTTCAATAATTATTTTGTATATTTGTAAGGGTATTATGTATATTTCAATGATTGTTTTGTATATTTGTAAGGGTATTATGTATATTTCAATGATTATTTTGTATATTTGTAAGGGTATTATGTATATTTCAATGATTATTTTGTATATTTGTAAGGGTAGTATGTATATTTCAATGATTATTTTGTATATTTGTAAGGGTAGTATGTATATTTCAATGATTATTTTGTATATTTGTATTGGTATTATGTATATTGGAATGGTGATAATGAATATTCCTAATAATTCTGGTTATACAATCATTGCTACAAGTCAAAGAAATATTATTAATTATTGTGTACAGATACTTTGATACCGACAATGATATCAGATTGCCATATATTAAATTATTATTAAAATATAATTAAGAATCGATACTACTTTGCACATAAGAACTTAATGAACAAAAATTTAAAAGATGTCTTTGTGTTTGAAAAAAAATGAATACTTTACCCAAGAAATATCTTGCGAAATGAATCAATTATTAAAGTTCTTCAGGGGTCATTTATACAACCAGCGCCGATTTGTTTAGGACGTGGACGTAGAAATAATAGTGATAATAATAAAAACATAGATCTTTCATCACTAAATAATAATAAACATAGATCTTTTATCACTAGGTATTAAATAGTTAAAGCTCAAATTAATCTGCTATAGTTAATATATCTTGCGTATTGACAATAAATTATAATTGGTATATTACAGGCAATAACGCCACCAGATGTATTAATGCAGCCTCAGACACCAGGTCTTGGCGCTATGCCAACAGCAGCAGCAGTAGCAGCTGCAGCAGTCACTGCTAAAATAACAGCAATGGATGCTCAACAGCAGCTTATTGTAAGTGGAGAAACATACAAATACAAGTGTTGTATGTTAATTTTATATATGATTATTTGACATTTTGAAAAGACATTAATTGAAAGGTCACCTTTACTGAAGGGAAAAGAAATTTTCAATTTTCTTGCAGACAGGTTTTGTAGACATGTGGATTGTAATGAATCTCATTCTTTTTCAATTGATTACAATAATTTATTAATACTTAGTGAATTCTTAATGTATGTTTTTGAAGCCACCTTGGGCTTGAAATTGTTTTAAGTACATTTTCTTGAAATTAAGAATTGCTAAGAAAATGCATATTTCTAATTTCAGCCTCCAGGCGTAGTAAACCCAACCCAGTTGGGTGTTACAGGTAGCCCAAAATTAGGGTTACAAGCTGACCTTAACATGATTGGTGGCCCTGGTGTAGTTATACCACAGTCTCTAGGCATAGCTCCGCCCACTGTGGCAAATATTCCACCACCAGGTGTCGTCACTGCAGGCTTGGCGGGACCTAAAGCTCTTCCTAAAGGTAACAGAGATTTCCTAACCCTTTATGTTTTGAATTTGTGTAACAATTTGCCCTGCTTGGAGTTTAAAAGACATTTTGAAGTTTGAAGAAATTTATTATCAGAATACAAAAAGAATAAGCCAGCAACAGTATAAAGACTGGTAAAATTGTAGAGATGTAGGTTGCCCTGGTTCTATATTGGTGGCAAAGACTGATCATTTTCGGTTCCAGCAGGGTACGAGTTAAATTAAATAGTCCGAAAAATAAGCCTGAAAATCATGTATGATACAGATAAAGATTGATCATGTAAACATTTAGGAATCAGAAAACATACTCTCATTTGGTTACTTATGCTGATCTCAAATTGATTGCTGGGTAGCTTTGGTTGCTGACTTTGAAACACATCGTTCTTGCTGCTGCCGATTTGAATCCCACCTGTTTGCCCTTTTGTTGCTTACATTTACAATCATATCAATACCAAATTGCTCTTTGAACACTATCTTGTGAGGAAGCAATCAAGTTTGCTTACATAAGGTCTGCAGTTCTTCTTGCATGTAGGTACTCTCCTTGTCATAGAAATAATGCACTGTGAGGTACTTGTGGTCTCCAGCCTTAAATAAAGCTAACAAGTTGCCATTTGACCAGGCTAGGATGATGATAATAATTCCTCAATTTGTAATTCTTGTTGTCAGTTAACTAAGCAAAAGTAAAGTACTCTTGTATGACATACATGATTTCTATTATCCTTTATTCTCACTAAATATATTTATTATTCAAGTATCATCTATGATGCCGCCAACGACAGGAAACAGTTTACAGGCTGCGATCTCATCAATGGTGGACTCAGATTCGGAGAAAAGACGAGAGAAGGAGAAAGAGAAAGAACGAGAGAAGAAAGAAGCTGAGAAGAAGATGGCGGAGGAAGAAGTAAATCAAACATTAGAACAACAAGAGACGATGAAGATTAGTGGTAGTAACGCGAGGCACATGGTGATGCAGAAATTAATGAGACAATCTCAGGTGACTATTATTTAATTGCAGAAATTACTTAATTACTTAATCACTTTATTAATGACTTAATTAATGACTTAATTGCAGAAATTAATGAGACAATCTCAAGTGAGTATTACTTAAAAATAAACTGTGCTGAAATATGATATTAGAAAATATTGTTGTGCTACACAGTCCTTTTGTAGATATAAACATGTTTTGATGTCACACAAAGTAGAAATGTTCTGTTTTAAATTCTACACACTATAGGTGGTCACAATATGAATATATAGTGTCATTAAAAAAAACTGGCAGTTTTTAAGAAAATACCAACATTACTTGACCTGTAATAGGGAATACAGCTTCCAACACATAGTTTATTCATTTTTTTTTTCAAGTTAGGCATATTCGGTAAGAATTTGATAGATTTCAATAAATTTCTGTGATTAAAATATTGAGCATTTTATATCTTTAATCAGAGTTATATGACTTAATGGTTGAAGCCTGTTACTTTGAATCACTTTCTGAACCCTGCTGTGGATTCAAATCCCACCATTGACTTTGGATTTTCTTTGTATTTCTTTGTATTCAGTAAGCTTATTGAAGGTAATTGGTTCAACTTGAGTTTCTGTGCATGCATAAAATAGTTCAATGAGTGGCGCCTTAGTTGTACCTTAGTTATGCTAGAAAGTCACCAAATTTTTTAAGAAATTTATTTTATTATTATACAGCTATGCATTATTTTCCACCTTTGATTTTAGTAATTCGGACATTTTAGTTGTAAAACAATCCAAGGAGTTGAAGGCCAACTTGTGTATGCATCAGTGGTCCCACTAATGCAATCAATCAAGAAAGTAACAGTGTCAGTGAAACCTAACACTTAATGGAAAAACATAGATAAAAATACAATACAAGAAATGCATTTCGTATATGAATATTTCTGTTTTCAGAGTCGAGTAATGGTATTAAAGAATATGGTAGGTCCAGAGGATTTAGATGATGAGTTACAGGCGGAGGTATCGGATGAATGCGGCAAGTACGGACAGGTGAACAGAGTTATTATATATCAGGAACGACAGGGAGAAGAAGATGATGCTGAAGTTATTGTGAAAATATTTGTAGAATTCAGCGATTCTGCTGGTAAGTTGAACAAAACAGAGAAAAACATCTGATTTAGTATAAAGTAAAACAACCAAATTATGATAAACACCTAAATTGAGGCGAAACAACTTAAAACATCATTATCAGGGCAAAAGGTTCACATTTGAATTTAACATCTTAAAGAGGCTGGTGGTAATGTCACATACGTCCGAAAGGTGTATAAGCTTTATATAGCTGTATAGCTTCCTACACAATCTAAAATTCTGTATAAACTAAAGCTCTAAAAAAATCTCCTGTCATTTCTACACTTCTTTAGTTAATTTTATGTATTGAAAAGGTTAAAGGTTCTGCTGTCTTTTGATTTATGTAATGCCATAGACCAGTGCAGACCAAAATCATTGGACACGTATATTATGGTCTGCACTGAGAGGATATGCAGGCTTCTCTATGTTTTGGTGGCATGTTAAAAGCTAGGCAATGGAATAACGATAATAACTGTATTAAACATAATGCAGAATTAAAATTGTCATTTGAATTTATGTTACAGAAGTGGAGAAAGGCTGCCAGTCATTAAATGGACGGTGGTTCGGTGGACGACTTGTGCAGGCGGAAAAATACGATCAGGATTTGTTTGATGCAAATGATCTCTCGGGTTGAAAATATCTCTTCACACAATGTGTTGTCATTTTAATCATTCATCATCGACAGGTCTACCTAGAACATCAAATGTGTTGTTTTCATGATTACGAAATAACAATAGGACAATGGTATGACTAACGCAGGGATATCGATTTGTGTATAATGTAAATAAATGACAATTTATATTTACAAATAGAACTTTGAAAAAAAAAATAACAGAAATGAATTTAATTTTTATTATGATTCAGTAAAATTATGAAATATAGAATTTATTAATTAAAGTTATAAGAATGTTCCAGAGATATGTTTCACTCAGTGAATATAAAAGTGATATATGTTAAAGATATGTTTGGGAGTGATTGTATTGAAAAAAGTTGTTAAAATATGACTCTACTTTGTCTTTTAAATTTTTGTGGATTTTAGCATTTTCAGTACTTTAGTTTTGAAACTAGTTAAAGGGTGGCAAAATCAATTATGTATTACCCAGGTTGTCCTAACAGCCCATTTTAATGTTGAAATTCCTCGTGTGTTTTCTTGAAAGGTAAAGACTGAAGTATGATGTTGAAAGTATCTATACTATATTGTATATACAACTTGATTTAAAGTGTACATGTGAATTGATGTGGGTATATGAAATAAGTTTTTATTTGAATAATATTCAATTTTGTTTCTGTTAGCGTACATGTCTATACAGCTTGCCAGCGAGTGATCTGTTAAATTTTCTTATACATGTATGTTAAATAGTACATGTTTGTTTAATGTGCATGTGTTTTCCAATTTTCAAGGTACATGTATTTTTCAAGATTCAGTAGTGTTTTAAAATACATGTATGATTCAAGATGCGTATATGTTCATAGATATGTGTGTGATTTTTGATATACATATATATGTATGTTTCCAAAAATACATGTATGTTTCAAGATACATTTATGTTCCAAGATATATGTTTGTTACCAAAATAAATGTATGTATCTCAAAAGATATATGTACTGTATGTTCCAAGTTACATGTATGTTCAAAGTCATATCAGTGTTCCAAGTCACATTAGTGTATCAAGGTACATGTATGTATCAAGGTACATGTATGTTCTGAAGTACATGTATGTTTCAAGATAAATGTAAGTACCAATATACATGTTTGTTCTGAGATACATGTATGTCCCAGGTTACATTAGTGTTTCAAGGTACATGTATGTTCCAAGATACAATGTATATGTTTCAAGATATGCGAGTGATTTATGTAAACAGCTTGTTAATTCTTATTCAATTTGCATAAAAATTTTGATGTATATGTCATTTTAAAACAGCCTCATTCTTTATTCATTTTCATATTTTCTATTATCTATTTTTGTCATCATCATTATTATTAACCATCATCAAATATCATCGTCATTACAGTTGGTATAACTAATGTGCTATTATGTGGTTAAGAAAAAATGAGAAATAAAAACATTTAAAAATAAAACAATTTTGTTTTTGATGTAAACTCACCATAGCCCAAACAGTTAAATGACTTTCTTTCTGTGTTATTGTTACAAATTCATACTTTCATCGAAGGCAGTGACAACGGATGTTATTTACCTTTACATTTATATCTATAATTGGATATCTTTGTTACAAAAAAATAGAGGATATTTGTTTAGTTCAGTGTAAGATCGGAATATATTTCACCGAGTGAGCACCAAAAGGTATATTTCACGAGTGGCGCAGCCACGAGTGAAATATGAACTTTTGGTGTTCACAAGGTGAAATATATTTCAATCTTACACTAAGCTAAACAAATTCTCTTTTTATTACATGCAAAGAAACGTTTTAAAAAGACATTAAATATAATACTGAATGAAAAGCGCGCCAAATAATAATACAACGTGACGTCATTTACGACGTCACGTCATTAAGTTGGTACCCAGTACTGTGCACGCTGGTATTTCACTTAAACAAGGTAAGGGGCTTAAATTCAAAACAGTGAAGATTATCAAAGTGGTAATTTCACTGTTTCAAACAGTGAAATTACCAGTTTATAACTCACTGATATATTTCTATAAACCACCGAAAAGCATGTAATAAAAAATAATAATAATGATAATGTTGAAATTACATTTGTCCGTTTCTGGTCAAACTGGAGGGGAATTTAGGTTTACCTTCTGTCTGTCACGAATCAAGAAGTACTTAAAATATTGAAAACTTGAAATATAGATAAATGTCCATATGGAGATAATGCAAGTCTTTTTAAGCTCAACTATTTGAAGAATAGCAGGGTTATACAACTTGCCTATGTGTCTGTATAACACTTTAGTTAAAGTTTTTGCGTGCAACATGGTATCTCATCAACCCGTATTAAATGATATTTGCTTGTATTTTCATACACTTATTTGAAAGCATTAACTCTAGCATAGATTTTGAAAGAAATTATGGACTTTTTAGCTCACCCTTGGACGAAATTTGTCTGAAAGTGATTTCTATGTCAATTGTCATGAATCTTGGTGAGAATGCTCGTCTATGTAATTGCTCGGATGAGTTCGATGGGTCAGGTGATCGATCTAGGGCCCTCTTGTTATTGTCATATGTAACATTTAGTTGATTATCTAGTTTGAATTCTAGTGAGCAAGACTGATGTTTCCAGTGCAATCAAAATTTGAAAATTTTACATAAACATACGGTGACACAGAGTAACTAAGTTGCGCGCACGAGATAATTTAGTCACGCACACGAGTTACAATGTCATGCGCACGAGTTACTATTACGAGATAATAAGCCAATCAGAATACACTCAACATGAATGTTGTTAGTAAAAAACTTGCTGAAACAATTTTATCTTCACTCATGCGCACGAGATAAATAAAAAACAACTCACACTTCACCAAACTCGTGCACCGGTTAATCCTGTAAGTAGAGACCACTGCGTGGTATATTGACATGTCACCTCTGTGTGCAACCATATATAAATGCCCTTAAGAAAAACAAACTGTATGGGAGTACCTAAATTAGTCCTTACTGCCTTATTAAGAATTAGGTCTCCTAAAGTAAGTAACTCCTTTATTTTGACTTAGGACTTTTAACCCATTATTATGAGTTTTTAAGTCTTATTAAGGAATTTACAAATCCATAATTATGTGCCATTTTCTTAAAAAATTATTTAAATTTGTTCTTTGAAAAAGTTAACTCCTAATTTAAAGTTAAAATAGCTAGTCTTATTGGGACTTAGAAGAAGTATTGTATTAAAAAGTAATTAGAACTTATTTTTTACTCCCAGTACAGGATGAATTAAAGACAAATAATGTTAATGTCATTATTGTAAGTTTTAAAAAGCATTAGGGGAAATAGAAGGCTAAGTTATTATTTTTGTATAAAATAAACCCTACAGTAGTAAGGAGTTACAAGGTTCTAATTAGGATATAGTTTCCTAATTATAAAAAGGCTTTTTCAAGGTCCTAATTGGGATTTTTAATTCCTTATTAACATAAAAGTATTTTTACAAGTCTGCAAATGTCTGCAAATTTTACGTTTTAAAGGTTTTCGACCGTGCGACCACATACACGCATCGAGGACATGTCGGAAGGAAAGTGACCGTGCGACCATATACACGCATCACGGGATTCCCCTTCTCTTACGAGAAAGGGACAAAGAACTGTCCACTCCTTTATCTAAGGGGGACAATAGAAATATATAATTTCTTAAGAAAGCTTATTTCCATAGTATTTATACAACCATAGTTACGCAAACCAAGCGGGTTATCAGGTTTTGTCCTTTTAAGTTCGCTATGAAAATATAAAAAAAATCATATTTGATTGATTTTAAAGTTTTTTCTACTTTTCATTTTATGTAATTAATAGAATTAGTTTTATTTATGCAAAACATGAACGTTTATAAACGTTTTATATACGTCAAATGTTGGAAACATATTTCACACTTTATTTGCAAATATTGACCCTGGGGGCATATTTGCCAAATTACGTTTGTATACTGGACTTATCTTACTAATAAGGAAGGTAATGTAATGGGATGCAAGAAGAAAATGATTTAAACTTGAGCAATGTACAGATTTGCAAGCCCAACCCTTACCATGGGGTTGGAACCCCATATGGATCTCATAATTGTGCATCGGTTAAAAAGATATATGAATTTCCTCGGAATCAGATGTGCGCTATAACTCGAAGCATGTAGGTCAATCACAGGGTAAGTTTTCAACTTTTTAAACATTTATATAAAATTCAAAGCTTTTTTTGAGAAATCGAAATGTGATTCTACCCTCCTGACTTTCCTCTATATTTACCCAATTTGTTGGGATTTTTATGCTGTGTTCATCGAGATATTCTTTCTGTTGTGGGTTCTGGTGTGCCCAAAATATGCAATGCGTATAAAGAAAATGTCCCTGAAAGGACTCCAAAAACAGATTTTCTGTACACAAATTCTTATCATCAAAGGATGCCTAAAATTTGAACAAATTCTTATTGAAACATTTATTGAGGTTGGTCGAATTGCCGGTCAAATTCTATCTGAGCTCCATATGTGCTAAAGAGTTCCATAGGTGCATGATATAAGAAGGCCACTTCCATAAAGCAATCAATGTTTTATTATTTTGTGTAATAAAAAATAGTATTTGATATAGACACATTGTCCCAAGTTGAGCTTCAATAACATTATTCATAAAAAAGACAAATTTAGCATACTTAAAGCATTGATTACAGCTATGTTTGGAATTCATTCAAGTATTCCACCCCTTAGTACAATACACATGTATAACAGTATTAGTATTTGGCATGGATCGTTTTCGCCATAGAGTACCTTTATTTCATAAAATAGTATGTGAATACCATTTAAAAAAATCAAATTAAAACGGAAACAGAATATCGAATAGTATAACACGTTATTTCTTTTCACCTCCCCGTGCCACTTTAAGTTACTAAAATAAAAGCGTATGTTATGTTATCGGTGTTGATTATATAAACACTAATGATTATGTTGAAATAACAGTTTGCTGCCAAAATCATAAATAGATTTACCCTT